AGAAGAGTGATTTATTGCTACAAAGGATGTTACCCAAGTGAGTTGGGGTTTTAAAATTTGAATATTTAAGCTATAAGAGATTCAGCCAGGATCTATCTAGTTATCTAGTCTAGTATCTAGTTACTTTTAATGATTCTGAGTAAACAGGAGCTTTCTAATTCAATTACAAGTCTCCAAATCATTACTGAAGATTAATGTAGCTTGGAGACAAGCTAAGAACTACTGTAGCTTCTTTTGCACTTTGTCAAGCCTTTCCAGTACTGTATTGCTGTATCGGCTGTTACCGAAGTAAAAACTGAATGTCACAACGGGTTTTTCAACAATTTTTAGACAAGTAGCTGAAAAGCTGAAACTCGGGCAATCAGTTGAACCGGAATCCTTCGACAGTGTCACAATTTTCTTCTCCGACGCTGTCCAATTCACAAATTTAGCTGCAAAATGCACTCCGTTACAGGTAAAGCGCAATTCGATAGGGTTGTTTTAAACCAAGCCTAACCATAAGTCGGCTCCTGAGCTTGGCTGAGCTGAGCTGGAGCCTGGCCGCCAAAAGCCAGTACCTGGGTCCAAGCTGGCTTTGGACTTGCCTGGTTTTTCCTGGCTTAGCTGTAGCATCTTGTAGTTGACTACAGCAAGCCTAAGGGCTTGTCAGATTTTGGGCTGGCGGGTTTACCTGAGCCTGGACAAGCTAGCCGGTTTACCTGAGCCTGGAGCAGCCAGGAAGCAGAACCTGGTCTGGCTCTGCACCTACTTTGTCCTTACATACCAATCTTAGAACTTGATTTCAACATTCCTACTTTATAGTAGCGCAAAACTGGGCACAGTATAGCATTACTATGCCTGAGCATGAGCTTGAGCCGCCTAAAGCCAGTATTTGAACCTGCTGGCTCTGGACTCTGGCTCTGGCTCTGGACTTGCCTGGCTTAACCTAGCCTTATCCTGGCTTTGTTTACAGACTGTTTACAGGTTTACCGGGCAACACGTAAGTCAAGCCAGGTCTACCGTAAGCGAAAGTGGTCAAGGAATAGAATCTAAAAATTATCGTCTTCCAGATCGTCAACCTTCTCAACGATCTTTACACGACATTCGATCAAATCATCGAGCAGCATTCTGTTTATAAAGTATGATTTGACGAGTTTAAAGTGATGATTAGTGTTTAAACGAGACGATTTCTAGGTGGAAACAATCGGTGATGGATATCTCTGCGTATCCGGGCTTCCCTACCGAAATGGAATCCAACACGTGAAAGAAATCGCCGAGATGTCGTTGAACTTTTTGAGAGCAGTGCAAGTAAGAGGAAATTGATGGATTGAGAATATAGGAAGATCAAATAAAGCTTTCAAACTGTTTTTACCCGACTTAGCCATAACAATCCTGTAACTAATCAATTTCCAGCTCTTTCGTGTCCCTCATCTCCCCTCTGAATCTATTAATCTCCGAATTGGAATGCACTCGGGCTCTTGTGTGGCTGGAGTGGTTGGATTAGCCATGCCAAGGTATCCACAAGGCTACCGTAATCCTCTAATCTCTTAAAAGAGGAAAAGAGTTACCGTAATCCTTGTTTTTAGATATTATTTATTTGGAGACACAGTAAACACAGCATCTAGAATGGAAAGCAATGGGAAAGGTAAAAAAAAGAAAAACTTTTCTCGAATCTGAAAACTTTCAGCTGCTAAAATTCACATGTCAAATGACGCTTATTCTCTATTAAATCAAATCGGTGGCTATGAAATCGAGTCAAGAAGAGAGGTGCTTATAAAAGTGAGAGTTTCTCTGTAAATCTGAATGACAAAACTCAAAAATCTAGGGAAAAGGACTGATGGAAACATATTGGTTGAATGGTCGATCTAGCGCTACAACAGCTCCACCAATAGATCCCGTGCACTCCAGAAAGGAAAATTTACAGCTAAAAACAAAAGAGCCATTGGGTTACGCGACGAAATCTTCGACAACTCCGTTAATGAAAGATGAGACGAGAATGGAATCCTTGAATACACAAGAATTACCGCATTATGATGAGATTGAATGATGTTTTTCCAGAAATTTCTAATATTTCAATAAATTCTTCGAGAAATAACAAGGAAAGATTGCACCAAAAATTATAAGAATACAGTAGTGATCATTGTAGTAAGCGGATACAATTCAAAGCATAGAAAAGCTGCAGAAATCAAGTTCAAGAGTTCATAGCTTTTCGATAGCTTTTGGTGTCATTGATTTGAGATTTAGGGACTGCAAGACATCCATCGTTTCTCGGATTTCACGGAAATTTGTTGTTTGTACCTCTTAGAATGCCATTCCAGACACTATGACATCCAGATTCGCCATTCCAGACAAAATTTGTGACTTGTACCTCTTAGAATTCAAGCATGACATCCAGATTGATCATTCTGGTTCTCAAACTTGTTGGATCGACGAGAGATTGGTACGGTAGCTTTTCCCAACTTTTAGAAACGTTTTAACAAAGTCCCTGCAATACGGTAACTAATTATAAGGCTTACGTTCAACAAAAACAACCGAAGGGTTTATGTTTTATGATAAAAGACAACCAGGCCAGAGTAAAGTACAGGGTCCGAGAAAAGTATTGTCGCGTCTCTTTGAACTAACTTTTATGCGATTTAAAAGTATCCTTTTGCGTTGTGTAAAACATGAATTTTGCCCTGTTTTTTTTCCTCTTTCGAATGGTGCATAGCATTCAATGTGTATTTTTAGAAATGCAAGCTTGCCCTCATCGAGAAGCGATCGCCATGCTTTTGAAAGCCGGAGAGTCGAAGGCGGCCATCTTGCAAAAGCTCAAAACCAACATCAGAACTGTTCAACGGCTTGCCAAGCAATTGCAAGAGAAAGGACACGTCAAGGAGCAGCCGAAAAAAGGAAGACCTCGATCGGTGAACACGCCAAACATCCGGAAGCGCATCAAACAGCGAATTGATCGAAACGACGAGCGAAGCTTAGGAAAAATGGCCAAGGAGCTGAAAATCTCGGATTGGTCGGTTCGGAACATTGTGAAAAAGGAGCTGGGACTTCGTAGTTATCGTCTGCGACAAGGCCAGTTTCTTACCGATGATGCAAAATTCAATCGAGTTGAAAAAGCCAAGCGACTCCTTTGTTTTTTTAAGACGGCACGCATCGAGGACGTCCTGTGGTCAGATGAGAAAAGTTTTACCATCGAAGTGGCCCACAATTCCCAAAACCATCGTCAACTGATGTCACCGGCCCAGAAGAACACTTTGAAGCGGAAAATCCGGACACGGGGTCTTTTTCCGAAAGGATTGATGGTTTAGGGAGGAGTGACTGCGGATTCCAAGACTCAGCTTGTTTTCATCGACAAGAGTGTCAAAATCAATGCCAAGGTTTACCAAGATCAGATTCTCAAGAATGCTGTGATCCCCTGGAGCCGAAAAAACCCTAACATGACCTTCCAGCAGGACTGGGCCCCGGCCCATGGAGCAAAAACCACAATGGACCTGATTCGGCGCGAATTGCCCTCTCATTTCACGAAAGAAGACTGGCCCAGCAACTCGCCGGACCTCAACCCTTTGGATTTTTCAGTATGGGGCTTCTTAGAGGAACGTTTGAGGCATAAGAAAATCGCAAATCTTGGTGAGCTCGAGAGGGAATTGATCGCTGCCTGGAACGATTTTGATACCAACTACCTCCGTGCCACCGTCGGCTCAGTGATCCTGCGTCTGAAAGCCTGTATCAAAGCCAAGGGGTCCAATTTCGAACACTTGTTATAAATTTGAATTTTTGGTTATTTATCTGTTATTTTTTTCAATAAATATGTTAAAAGCTCAATTTTGAAAAAAGATATGATGGTTGGAAAAACGACAATACTTTTCTCGGACCCTGTAGGTTTAAAATCCAATCCAAAGTAAGACTCAATACACATTTAAGCTACAGTAACTTGTAGTAGTTTTCCCAAGTACGGAAACTTTCTACGGCAGCTTTTTCCTAGTGCAGTATCTTTTCCCGAGTACTATACCTTTTCTCTATTACGATAGCTTTTCTCTGGTACGATAGCTTTCCCCGAGTACGATAGCTTTTCTCTAGTACGCTAGCTTTCCCCGAGTACTATACCTTTTCCCTAATACGATAGCTTTTCCTTAGTACGATAGCTTTCCCAACTTTCAGAAATGTCTCAGCAAGAAAACCTCAGGTGCAAAACTTCTCGAAAAGCGCGCATTTAAAAAAGCGATCCATCGTTTCCAAGATCCAAGACATCCATCGTTTCTCGGATTTCACGAAAATTTGTTGTTTGTACCTCTTAGAATGCCATTCCAGACTTCTCTAGCTTTTCTCTAGTACGATAGCTTCCCTAGTACAATAGCTTCCCTAGTACAATAGCTTCTCTAGTACGATAGCTTTTCTCTAGTACGATAGCTTTTCTCTAGTACGATAGCTTTTCTCTAGTACGATAGTTTTTCAGTTTTCCCAACTTTCAGAAATGTCTTAGCAAGAAAACCTCAAGTGCAAAACTTCTCGAAAAGCGCACCTTTTAAAAAGCGTTTTGATATTGATGAACAAGATGAAAAGCCTTTTTGAATGACCCAGACGTTTCGTTAAATTGAATTTTCGAAAATTTAATCCTCGCAAGTGCCTTTAAAACCCCAAAAAAGCGAACCAGGAAGATTTCATTGAGTAGAGAAATCATTGAGTTGATTTCATTGAGTTGAGAAATCCCAAAACTACAAAACTCAACTTTTCGATGGGGTTTCCTAGTTTGGTTTTACTGATCTCCACTTTTTATGGCTTATTTTAGAAAATTCAAACTCGTTTTGGAAGCATTTACATCCCATGATTCCAGAAAAAAAAACACGTAAAAAGAAGAATCACAAGTTTGAGAAGCCATTCAATCAAAAAAATTTCCTTTAAAAATGCCCGAAAAGAAAACTAGCACTTCCTTAGTGCGAAATCGGTGAGGTTTCTCTCATAAAATAAGCTTCGAGTGCTTTTTGTGAGATGGTTCTTTTACTGTTTTACTGTTCTTTTCTGTTTCTACAAGAATGTGCTGCACAAACGACTACTTTATCGTCAACTATGGTAAGCTATTCCAGCTTTACAAATTTTAAACAAATTCTAGAGAACTATGACCTCATCTAACTCGTTGTCTAACTCGTCGTCTAACTCGTCATCTAACTCATCATCTAACTCATCATCTAACTCATCATCTAACTCGTTATCTAACTCATCATCTAACTCGAATGTCACTACGTTTACAATTGGATTCATAGGTTTAAAGCTTTTTAAGAGAAATTTTCAAAACCATTTTAGTGACGGAAGCTCAACAAGCGAATATCGGCTTTTCGATTACCGGTGGAGTGATTCCAATCGCATTGCAGCGAATCGCAAACCTATCTTTATTGGATTCTGTTGAGTTTAAGTAAAGAGCTTTCGTTGAATTGACTTAAAACTATTACCAAGCCATACCCAACCAAGCCTAAAAGATCAATGCTTTTTGAAATGGCATTGAAATTGGCTTGGCTGCAAAAACCGCTGAATTTCCAGATTCATTGTTAACTACACGGATTGCTCGGAATCAAACGCGGCTGGCATTGCTGTTTATATGTTGAAAACGCTGAATGTTGATGTGATTATTGGACCGGGTTGTAGCCAAGGTTTGTAAAGATTATGGGTTTATTATAATCAAACAGCTCAAAGTCAAAAAGTCGAGAGGAATCGAACCCGGGAGCATACTTTGATACTCTGATAGTCTGACGCACTATCCTCTAGACCTTTTCTACTCTGTTTTTCTGCTTTTCTCCTTTCGGCGTGGCACATAGGTGAAGTGAGAGTTTGTCAAAAATCGCTGAAAACTTTGCATACACTTTTCTAGAAAGCCAGAGCTATGCAAAAATAAACAGAGGATCTGATTTGACATTTCCGATAGGCGCTTGCATCTAATCGCTATTTAAAAGTCTCCCCTCTTTAGAAATAAATTAGATAGATAAATCAGACTAGATAAATCCAGCCGGCTAAGCGCTGGGGTCTGTAAGCCCAGAGCGCAGAATTTCTCAACCCTGAGCGTAAAATGAAGCCGGATCAAATCCCACTTTTTTTTGATCTGTCTTCGCACTTGGGTGTTCCTATTTGCGCAGATCAAAGTGATAAGTGAATTTCAACCTGCTTCCACATTTCTCTAACCCTTGCTATTGTCATTCAGTGTTTCCTATTTTGGTTGTTCCTGGTTCGAAGTCTTCGACTTGCTTGTGCTGGTGGTTGCACTCTAGCCATCCTTTCTCTGACCGCCTCTGCCACTCTTGTGCTCCACCTCGTTGCTGGTCTTCCGATGGGCCTCTTCTGGTCTCGTGGTGGCCACTCAGTGATTCGTATCGTCCATCTGTCGTCTGTTCTTCTGGCTACGTGGCCGACCCATCTGAGTCTTTTTCTCTCGATCACTTCCACTGGATCTCTGAGTCCCACTGGATCTCTGAGTCCCACTGGATCTCTGAGTCCCACTGGATCTCTGAGTCCCACTGGATCTCTGAGTCCCACTGGATCTCTGAGTCCCACTGGATCTCTCAGCTGGCGCATATCCATACTTCTTAAGTCTTGGTCGAGCTGCAATCCCACTTTAATTAAAGCCAAAGCGATTTCTGACTTCTGGTGAACCAGGCAACTTTTATCAACCAGATTTGCAGAAAAGTTAAAAGAAAGACCTAATTCTGACTTTGCCTAGTACCAAGAAATTACTTTTGAAAAACTCTAAATTGTAAAATAAGTGATAAGTGAATTTGGAAATTAGAAAAAGCCATTTTTCAGCGATCATCCCAGTCGCAATCCTTGCCACATTCTATCAAACTCCACAAATTGTTTGGGGTTATGCTTCAGCTTCGACTCTTGCCGATTCCTCTCGTTTCACGTCTCTCACCACCGTGGCACCGAATTATCGACAGTAACTAACAATTCTGGGAAAATTTTATAGTTTTTAGATTGGGATACGCGTTTGGCACTTTATTGAATATGTTTAATTGGTATGGAAAACGTTTTTGTTTACGAAAGAAAAAAAACTCATTTAGGGACACTCTCGCATTGTTGTACGGATCAACGGGAGTCGGCAATTGCGCGTCGTTGATTTATGATGTGACGGTAAAGAGAATTTGAGGAATAGATTGGATAAAGTTTCAAAGAATTCAAATTGAAGTTACCTTGAATGTGTCTAGGTTTACCATGGCTTAGCTTGACTTGGACCTGGCCTGGCCCTGGCCATCTTTGACTATCTTGACTACCGGATTCTCTCTAGTTGATGAGTTGATGTTGATGAGTTGATGACGAGTTGATGACGATTTTGCGGTTTCTAAGTTTTCGGAGAAACTCAAGAGTCTAATCCCCCACAAGATCTCATCGTGAGCTACATTTTCCGACCCCGCATCGATAGGCTCTGATAAGCGGTTCTCGAGATTTCGAGGAATTTAGGCAACACTCGGAGTGCCACCATTACATGACCACCATTGCTTGGCCACCCTTACATGGCCACCATTACATGGCCAACCTTACATGACCATCATTACATGACCACCATTACAAGGCCATCAGGTCAAAGTCACCGATGAAGCGGATGGATGGAGTACACTGGTCGCTTGAAAATTAGATAACTTTTCTTTTGAGTTTTCTTTTGAGCCGAGTTAATGACTATTTTACGGTTTCGAAGTTTTCGCTGAAGCTCAACACTCAAATCATTCAAATCCCCCACTAGATCTCATTGTCAGCTACATTTTTCGACCCCACATCGATAGGTTCTGATAAGCAGTTCTCGAGATTTCGAGGAATTTAGGCAACGCTCAGGGTGCAATACTATTAGAGAGAATACGGTATCTGCCTGAGCCTCATTTCTAGGCATTGATGCTACTTAGATTCTTGAATCTACAGCAAGTTTAGCACTGGATAAAAAGCCTTCGATCTACTTGAATACTTAGCTTGACTTGGACCTGGCCTGGCCATCCTTGACTATCTTGACTATCTTGACTCCTTCTATCTACTTGAATACAAATAATCAAATTCACTTCCAAAATTCACTCCACATTGCAGAATGCCCTGTCGGATCCTCTCCTCAACAATTCGCTGACGATCGCCTCAACTCAACGCTTAGATATCGCCGCATCAACGACAGCCTTCTCAATAGCAAATGTACTCAAAAAACTAAAAACTCGTGCTAGAAGTGGGTGGAATTTTCTTGAAATAATTATTCAATCGTCATTTGCCTTAATCTTTCTTTCTTTTTCTTTTTTGAGTTTAAAATTAGATTTCTTTTTAATTCTTTTAATTCTTTTAATTTTTTAGAGATTTCTTTTCATTTTAAGGCTTCTTTATGCAAAAATTTTCTGAGAAACCCTTCAATAATTCTTTTTTTTTGGCTAAAAACGGAAATAACTTTTAAATTTCAGTTATCGGTGTTTGTTTGCAGGATGACAACTCTAAGAGGAATTTCATGATTGCCACGGCGCTAGCTGGAATGAATACGTAAGAAAGGAATCAAAGGGTCAACGGATTACCACTCTTAAATGTCGTGAGCATTCTCAGCCTTCTCTCAGTCAAGTAACAAGATGCTCAAACTGTCCTGCAGCTGAAAGATCTGCTGCTGAAAGATCAGTGCTCAAGTCTTGGCTAGATTAGAAAATGCTAAAAGATCCTGATCTTGGTTTGACTTGGCTTGCATTTCTGGATCACTACCAGCCTGAGTCTGGCTGGTAGTTTAGCTAGCTAGCTAGGTAGCTGGTAGTCACTACCAGCTTGACTTTACTGCAAGCATGCAAGCACTTCGGGCTAGAAGGGCTAGCTTTGCTTTTGGTTGCTCCAAGAGCTAGATCAGACTAGCTGTCAAATCAGATCAAAAAGCAAGGGCTCTGGCTTCTGCGAGACAGGGAAGAAGCTAGGCTTGACTGGCTAATTAACTAGCTGGGATTCTAAGCCAATCAACTCTGAATCAAGCTAAGAACTTTGAATTTGAAGTCTGGCTTACTGTAGTCGATCTCTTTAGCTCATGAGATCTCAAAATTCCAACCAAACTCCAACCTTTTGACCAAACAAACTTCAGCTCCGACTACGTTTATGTAATTCTCGACTTGAAAGGATTCGGTTTTGGTCAACTTGGGCAAGGTGGACCGGGCACAACGAAATGTTTCTTTTCTTTAAAAACCATAAAAAAAACAATTTTACAGTGGACAATGGCCTGACTCCAGTTTGGTACGATACAATCAACAATAACAAGGATGGTTATGACTCTGTTGCTCAACAGGCTGCTAACAATTTCTTGCTGGTTTGTACCCAAATCGAATTCCAAAAGGTCCAAATCGTAGATTGATCTGACCAATCAGGGCACGGTAAATGGAATGACGACAACTCAACTCACGCCACAGGTTTGGAAAGTTTTCAGAAAATGATTGTGCCTTCCAGATAGCTCAAATTTATTATCAAAACATTCTGTGCACTCCAGATAGTTCAAATTTATTGTCAAAATCTACTGTGCACTCCAGATAGCTCAAATTTATTGTCAAAACATTCTGTGCACTCCAGATAGCTCAAATTTATTGTCAAAACATTCTGTGCACTCCAGATAGCTCAAATTTATTGTCAAAACATTCTGTGCACTCCAGATAGCTCAAATTTATTGTCAGAATCTACTGTGCACTCCAGATAGCCCAAATTTATTGCCAAAACATTCTGTGCACTCCAGATAGCTCAAATTTATTGTCAAAACATTCTGTGCATTCCAGATAGCTCATCAAAACCCTCTGTGAACTCCAGGATAACCAAGACTTGTAATCAAAATCGCCAGTTAACTTAAATTTTCTAATCGAAATCTTTTTTGCCTTCCAAATATGGCAAATTTATTACTAAAACATTGTGTGCGCTCCAGATGGCTCTAAATTATGCTCGAAATGCTCTTTTTTTGCTTTCCAGATCGCCAAAAAATCTTCGACAACTGTCATTTAGGTGATGGAAAACGTGCGCGGCCCGCCTTTCTACTGTGAGACCGAGGATTGTCTGATGAATGACGAGCGATACACAGGGGTAATTGTCGAAAAACCTATCGAATCCAGTTTTCTAGATCGGTTCATTCGCTCAACAACAGTACGATGCACTGATGTACTACGCGTACTCGCTGAATGCCTCAATTGCGCTGGATCCCGTGAACGGTTTTAAGAATGTGACCGTTTTCAAACAAGTTCAGACCTCAATCTCATTCAGTGGTGGGTTAGATTTGGGCTAAGTCTTGATTTTCAAATTTTCTTGATTCAGGTTGGTCTGGAGCAATAGCAATGACACCAAATGGGACTCGAGTGCCCCGTTTGTACGCTTATGGTTTAACAGGAGCCGGTGTTCCCACGCGTTTCATCAATTTCACATGGCTTGGTGTATTTGATTACATGGTTGGCTAGGTTAGGGTTTTTCTTGAAAATAGAGATTCAGATAGCTGGCGCAAATTTTGTGGACGATACGTCAACGATTTGGGCGGCGAGAGGAGGATTTAGACCGTTGTCGACACCAATTTGCGGGTAGAATTGTCTTTTTCCATAGAAATCCTCTAAAATATTTCTCTACAATTGAGGCTACTATTTCATACTGTTTATTGAAAACCAAAAAACGATTGCAGCTTTTTTCGTAGCCTTTGAATGAGCTGATTTTTTTGTCTCCAAGCTACAGTAACCCTAGCTTGTCTCTAAGCTACAGTAATCCCTAGCTTGTCTCCAAACTACAGTAATCCCTAGCTTTTCTCCAAGCTACAGTAATCCCTAGCTTGTCTCAAGCTACAGTAATCCCTAGCTTTTCTCCAAACTACAGTAATCCCTAGCTTGTCTCAAGCTACAGTAAGGATTTGGAGACTGTAATACTTCTTGGAGACTTGTAATACTTCATAAAAAGTTAAAATAGAGCGAATTCAAGCGATTAAAGATCAAAATAAAACGTAAACAAAGAAGGGAATCGAACCCAGCAAAGAATTCGTAGCTTGTTTTAGAAACGGGATTCTTACCCATTACACCACGGGTCCACGTGAAAGCGTGAAAAAAGCATTATCAAGAGAACATCTATCGGGCTCATGTACCAGACGGCGAGCGATTACGCGGCCGCACAAAGAACATCTCACCAGTCATTTACAAGCTTTCTCTTTTGCATTGTAAAAGGCTTTAAAAGAAGATATTCAGTTAGAAATTTGCATCCTGGGGTTTTCGAGGACGGGGAATCGATTGGAGCTATTCATTTTATTGAGTCTACCAATTTAAACTGGGTTTTAATTGGGCTAAACTTTCAGATGAATTTGGAACTGATAAGACAATTTTGGATAGGAAATTTTCACTTTTCATCAAAGTTTTATCATCAAATTTTTGCTTAAAATGAAAGCCAAGCAGCTATGATTGCGATTCTAAACTCATTCTCAGTTTCACCGGCGAAAATTGCCCACCCACCCAATGGCAACAAAGTGGAATGTACATTTGTATCGGCGCCGGGATCATCATTCTTCTTCTCATCGTTTTCATGTTTCTATTGATTTACATTGCCAAGTTTTTGCCTTGACCTTGACCCTGAATCCTTAGAGTTTTAGACAAAAGCGTAAAGAACGCGAGCGACAAGACGCCGAGTGGCAAATACCATTCATCATTTTGGAGAAATTTGGTCAAGGAAGGCATAGTCGAGTAAGTAAACCATCGATTCTAATCAAATAAAATTGTAGTGTGACATCCATAACACTGAAAAAAATTCAATACAACACCTAGAATCTGATTCAGAACGAAGAAAAGAGCATGCACTCTCTTCACTCCTCCAAATCGTCAAACTCGAAATTCTCAATGGGCAGCAAAGGGGAAACGGCCAAGTTGGCTTATTTTCATATGAGGGGTACGGTAGCTTATCCATTTTAATTCTAAAATCCTTTTTTCTTACTGTAGGTGAGCCCGTTTCCGCCTACAAATATCAAATAATGCCCAGATTGGGAAAAGAGGATTTTGCCGAGTTCAGATTGGTAAAATCTTAAAAGCTAGATTAAAAGCATGACATCCATAATTGCAGCTCCGAAAAGTAGAACACGATAACGTGCACCGGTTCATCGGAATCTGTCATGATCACTCTCCAATGATGTCAATTTGGAAATACGCGGCTAGGGGAACGCTAGAGGTACTGTAGCAAGCCAATTCCGAACCAATACTGATTCCAGGAAGTAATCCAAAAAGGCTCAATCAATTTGGATGCTTTCTTCGCGATGTCATTGATCCGAGATCTGATAGAAGGGCTGCAATTCATCCAGAACTCGTTTCTCGGATTTCATGGGAATCTATGGTTTGTAACGCTTAGAATTCAAACATGATATCCAGTTTAGTCATTCCAGTTCTAAAAAGCATCCAAAACTACCGTAATCACTATCATTTACATTCAATTAGCTCAATTTTGGTTTTATTTTGACTAAGCCCTATGATTCTTTATCAAAATTAGCCATTCCAGACAAAACTTTTGGTTTGTAACTCTTAGAATTCAAGCATGACATCCAGTTTGGTCATTCCAGTTCTAAAAAGCATCCAAAACTACCGTAATCACTAGCATTTACATTCATTTAGCTCAATTTTGGTATTTTTTTGACTAAGCCTTATGATTCTTTATCAAATTTAGCTAATTAAATAAAAAATAGATTACTGCAATAGATTACCAGTTTAACATGGAGCTTTGTCATTTATAACTAATAGAATTCAAGTCAAGCATCGAGCTTGATCATTCCAGTTCGCCTTATGCGAAGTTCGCCAGTTCGCCTTCCAGACTGAGCCTTATGATTCTCTATTAAATTTAGCTAATTAAATAAAAAATTGATTACTGTAATAGATTACTGCAATAGATTACCAGTTTAACACGAAGCTTTGTGATTTGTACCTGATAGAATTCAAGTCAAACATCGAGCTTGATCATTCCAGTTCAACGACTTGTTGGATCGATGAGAGATGGGTGCTGAAAGTGAGCGGATTTGGATGTGCAAATCTGAGAAAAGGAGCAAAAATCGAGAAGAAACGTTAAGAGATCTAGAATTTTGAACTAAAAATAACATTTAGGACAACTCTGGCTAGCACCTGAACTCTTAAGAAATCCATTAAATGATGGAACAAAAGAAACCGATATCTATGCTTTTGCCATTATCTGTTCAGAGATCGTAACTAGAAAAGAAGTTTACGATTTGGAGAATCGAAATGAGAAGATTGAAGGTAAAGGGAATTGATTTTTGCCTTCAAAATCGAGTTCCAGAACTCCTCTACATGATCAAACGGGGCTCCTCAGTGCCCACTCGACCAACGTTGACCATTCCCGAAGAAATGGAGCTGAACCCAGCTGTGGTACGTCTTCGTGCGTTCCAGATCGCTTAAAAATCTCTACATGATTTCATTTAGCTTCATATGATCCGCGATTGTTGGTCGGATTTGCCTGATACTCGCCCAACAATCTCCACCATTAAAACAATCATCAAATCGATGGCTCAATCCGATGGAGGACAACAAAATCTAATGGATCATGTCTTTAAATTGATGGAATCTTATGCAGAGACATTGGAAAAAGAGGTACGGTGGAATGGATGAGATTTTGAATTGATTGAATTCCAGGTACAAGATCGAATGGCAGAATTGGTGGAAGAGAAAAAGAAGAGTGATGTGTTGCTGTATCGGATGTTGCCAAAGTAAAAGCTGGATGTCATAATGGATTTTGAAACGATTTTTAGACCAGTAGCTGATCGTTTAAAACTCGGGCAATCAGTAGAGCCTGAATCTTTCGAAAGTGTCACGATTTTCTTCTCCGACGTCGTTCAATTCACGAATTTGGCTGCAAAATGCACTCCGTTTCAGGTAAAACCCTACAATCAGCCAGAGTATAGTGACAACAATACCGTATTTCACGTTGTTCTAGCTTTCCAGCTTGAACAAGGCCTCTGGTCTGGCTCAGGCTTAGGCTTAGGCTCAGACTTTAACCTAAAATGGTCACAGAATCAACTACCGTATTCCAGACCCTTCTTTGACTTTGTCCAGACTGGTTTGACTTACCATAAACCATGGTTAGCTTATCATAAATCGGGTAACACGTAAGCAAAGTCAAATCTACAGTAACCCAAAATGGTCACAGAATGAACTACCGTATTCCAGATCGTGAACCTCCTCAACGATCTCTACACCACATTTGATACAATCATTGAGCAGCATTCGGTTTACAAGGTAAATATCAGAGTTGATTAAAGCAAGTTGAGCCTCGGATTTCTTTCTCTTTCCCCTTGTATTTCCTCTTTCTTCTCTAGCAACAATATACTGAATAGCTGAATGGTTAAAGCATCTACTCGGATACCAAAAACCAACTCAAAAAGATCGATAGGTCAATCCCCTCGGAAATCTTTCTCTGCCATTCCTTACTTTACTATTTTACTATAGACTGGCCCATAAAATGTTCATGAACGGGCTCAGACTGACCTAGACATAAGAATCGGGCCAGCTTTTGTGTCGGATCGGGTCACCGAGTATGAAAGTTGATCAGAGCAAGTTGATCAAATCAAGCTGATCTTTAGGTGGAAACAATTGGTGATGGTTATCTTTGCGTTTCCGGTCTTCCCTATCGAAATGGAATCCAACACGTGAAAGAAATCGCTGAAATGTCACTCGATTTCTTGAGAGCTGTTAAGGTAATCCAAATCCGAGACGGCATTTTTGGCACTCAATCAATCGATTCTAGCTTTTCCGAATTCCCCATTTACCCACAGAATCGATAAATCTAAGAATTGGAATGCATTCTGGATCTTGCGTTTCAGGAGTCGTCGGATTGGCAATGCCGAGGTATGAGCTGATATTTAAATGAAAAACAAAAAAGATTTAAGTCAGAAATCGTTACTGTAGTTCCTCCGTTCCTCCTACCGTAATCATCCTTTATTTTTCAGATATTGTCTATTTGGAGACACTGTAAACACAGCATCCAGGATGGAAAGCAATGGGAAACGTAAGCTGAAACCTAATCTCTCCGTTGAATTCAAAGCTTCAGCTGGCCAAATTCACATGTCATCCGATGCGGCAGTTCTTCTTCGACGAATCGGCGGTTATGAGATTGAATCGAGAGGAGAAGTGATCATCAAGGTAGGAAATGTTTAGGACTGGCTGGATTACTTGATCTTCTGTAAGAATTGCTAGGTTTTTTTGAAGTTCACTAGTTAAACTGGATCGCAGAACAGCTTTTCATCGAAAACTTTCAGAACTAAGAGAAGAAGTGATCATCAAGGGTAGAAAATGTTTAGGACTGGGTGAGTTTCTTGATTCTCTGAAAGCCTTTTTAAGTTTTATTAAATAAATCAGCCAAACTGGGTCTCACAACAGCTTTTCATCGAAAAATTTCAGAACTAAAAGGAGAAGTGATAGAAAATGTTTAGGACTGGCTGGATTTCTTGATCTTCTGTAAGAGTTGCTAGGTTTTTTTGGGGTTCACTAGTTAAACTGGATTGCACAACAGCTTTTCCTCAAAAAATTTCAGAACTAAGAGAAGAAGTGATCATCAAGGGTAGAAAATGTTTAGGACTGGGTGAATTTCTTGATCTTCTGTAAGAGTTGATAGGTTTTTTCGGGGCTCACTAGGTAAACTGGATCGCACAACAGCTTTTCATCGAAAATTACAGGGCAAAGGCGTAATGGAAACATTTTGGCTGTTGGGAAGGAGTGGAATGGGCTATTCTTCGACCATCGTCTCTCCATCACCCCCAACCCGACCAAAAGCCAAGCCAGAGATGAATGAACGATTCTTTGAGCCTCGTACCATCCAGGATGCAGAAATTCGTCAAGTGACACCACCAATGGAGAATGAAACAAGGCTTCAATCTGAGGTTGAATTGAAAATTGGCTTTTAGCTTCATTTTCCCAGGTTTCCTCTCCTTCTCCACCACTTTCAACAATTGAAACCTCTCGTGGAATGTATCGGGAAACCATTTGGGATTGATTTCAATTCAATTTTATGAACTTTGAACAAATGATATTAAAGATTATATATTTCAATTGCAGAAAGCAAAAAAATTTCTTTCAACCAAAGAAAAGGCTCAGAAATTAAATGCTAATCCCAAAAGATTTTAGAGCTTTTTGTTGAATGTTTAGTATCAAAATGAAGCTGATAATCTAGGCTTTTTTATAGAAATTTAGATCATAGAGAGTTTTGCTGAAGTGAAAGAAGCGGTTAAACATCAAAATCAAAACGAAACAAAGAGCGGGGTCGAGCCCGAGCACACACTTGATTGCTTGTTTTGGAAACAAGACTCTTATCTACTACACCACAGGCGTACGCTTCGCTGAGGTGAAAGAAGTCTTAAATGGAGACTCCAAAAGTGGATATCGAACGGGCTCGTGTGCCAGACGGCGAGCGAATACGCGGCCGCACAAAGAACATCTCGCCAATCATTTACAAGATTTCTCTTTTGCATTGTAAATGACTTTAAAAAAGATATGCCATACTGGAGGGCTGTTATCAATTAAAAGCTGTCATAATACTTCTTGCAAAGTTAAAATAGAGCGAATTCAAGCGGTTAAACATCAAAATAAAATGGAGCCAAGGAAGGGAATCGAACCCAAGCAAAGACATGGTAGCTTGTTTTAGAAACGGCACTCTTAACCATTACACAACGGGTCCACGTTTCGAGAGGGTGAAAAAAGCCTTATCAAGAGAACATCTATCTATCGCGTGTGCCAGACGGCGAGCGATTACGCGGCCGCACAAAGAACAGCTCGCCAGTCATTTACAAGATTTCTCTTTTGCATTGTAAATGGCTTTAAAAGAAGATATTCAGTTAGAAATTTGCATCCTGGGGTTTTCGAGGACGGGGAATCGATTGGAGCTATTCATTTTATTGAGTCTACCAATTTAAACTCGGTTTTAATGGCTGTAAATGGCTTTAAAAAAAGATATAAAACAGCCTATTTTGTAGAGAAGATTTGCAAAATTTCAAATAGTTTATTTCAAATGCTTATTTCAAATAGCTTATTTCAAATCGCTTACAACATTCATCGATATCAGATTTCTATCGCTGGAAATTTATGGAAATGTTTAAATCCGTATTTCTTATGCATTTACTTAATAGATTTCTGAGCAAATCTTTTGTTTACGTGTAAAGCAAATCATAATCATAAAACGTGTTTCAATTGATAATTTATAAATTGAACAGCTCAACACGAAGAGATTTGAGCTCAAAGTTAGATTGCCAACGGCAAAAGGGCGGGGCGCGGATCAAATGCAAATCAAATCAAATCATAAAAGCCTCTACTTTGCTTAATCTTGTAAAGCTACACTTTTCTGTTTCATTACAGTACGATTCATTACAGTACAGTAGAAACGAAAGTATTCAGACTAGATTCTCGGCTTTCTAAAAAACACTTAGCTTAGAAAACTAGCATAATCAAGCTGTTTGCATTTAAGCTGGTGTTATCTGCTATTAACTTGGTATTATTCGATGCGGGTTATCGGATATTTGATCCGCGCCCCGCCCTTTTGCCGTCGTCACGAATGTGTTAAACAAACCATTACGTTGCCATTGGCAATCTAACTTTGAGCTCAAATCTCTTCGTGTTGAGCTGTTCAATTTATAAATTATCAATTTAAACACGTTTTAGCCTATTTTGTAGAGGAGATTTACAACTTTGGAATAGGTTATTTCAAATATTGGGTTGGTGGAAAAGTCCTTTCGGATTTTTTGGGAGAGTACCTTAAATTTGTCCAATTTTGACGTTTTATAGCTCATCCTAAAGCTGAATTCAATACGGATCGATTGGGAAAAACCGTTTTGAGATATCTCTTTTCTAAAAGTTTTTACAGCTATTTTAGTAAAGGGCAACAGAGCCAAAAAATGGCTGTTTTCACGTTTCGGTAGTTTAAACGAAGGAAAATCGCGAAAAGCGGTGGAAAGGCTATTGATCGGAGGGTCGCTGGTTCGACTTCCACCGGTGACAATGTTTGTCAAAAATTTTTAGCTAAGATTCTGAAAATTTGTGTCTAGGGGTTATTTTGGACGCTGATCACGAATAACATGTTTTTAGCCTAGGTTTCTGCACGAAAAACTAACGAAACGTGAAAACAGCCATTTTTTGGCTCTGTTGCCCTTTACTAAAATAGCTGTAAAAACTTTTAGAAAAGAGATATCTCAAAACGGTTTTTCCCAATCGATCCGTATTGAATTCAGCTTTAGGATGAGCTATAAAATGTCAAAATTGGACAAATTTAAGGTACTCTCCCAAAAAATCCGAAAGGACTTTTCCACCAACCCAATAGTTTATTTCAAATAGCTTACAACATTCATCGATATCAGGTTTCTATCGCTGGAAATTTATGGAAATGTTTAAATCCGCATGCACCTAATATCTTCTAAAGCCGATTTTGCATCATCAATCAAATGGAATTCCTTTGGTAATGTTGTTCTTCAATGGAATTTCTACATCAATTGTACGGTGACTGTAGTTTCCGGTGACTTTCCGGTGACTTTCCGGTGACACATTGACTCCAAGCACTGCTTCAACTCTAACATTGGCTCCAACTGGCAACTCAAGGACGTATCTCGTTGAAATGATTGTCACCGAAAGCCAGCAAGCGAATATCCCTAATGAATAAACGATGAGTAAGCGAAAGTTAATCGCCATTTGAGTATATTTCGATCTGAATCCTTAAAACTTGGATTAAAACTAGAAAAAGTTAATGACGAACATCGAGAAAGGGTGACAAATCAGTGAAATGAGAGGAGAGAGTTCTTTTCTGAAAGATTTCCCCTCAATTCTTGATCTTTCCATCTCTTCAGAAACCCCTCTACTGAAAATATAAACCCGATTTTTCAAGTCCATAAAATTTAGTCTTCACACTTTTGCTATCTGGAACTGACACAATGATTTGGCTATCTGGAACTCACACAATGATTTGGCTATTCTGGATTTGCATCTTCTTGCAAGAAACGATTGCTCAATCGAATGTGACTATTGGAGGGATTACGGTCAATTTTAAAAACAGAATTGATCATTCTGGATTTCAGTGGGAAATCTTAACTCAAGCTCTTTAGTTTCCGGTGACTTTTTCGACCACATTGACTCCAAGCACTGCTTCAACTCCAACATCGATTCCAACTGGCAACGCAAGGACGTATCTCGTTGGAATGATTGTCACCGAAAGCCAGCAAGTGAATATCGGCTTCTCGTTGACTGGAGGAGTGATCACATTGGCTTTACAACAAATCGCTCAACAACATCTACTAGATGGCGTTGATTTTGAGTGAGTGAAGATTCAGAAATCAGCTTCCAAGCATAACTAGTCTGCTTCCAATCAGCCAATTCATCTAGATTACTTGTAGCCTAAGATCAACAAGTTTCTACAATCGATTCGAAGTCTAAGTAGTTCTAAGTCTGTAAAAGCAACTTCTGGTTAACAGAACGACCTTTAAACTTTAAACGAAACGACAATTCATCTAGATTACTTGTAGCCTAAGATCAACAAGTTTCTACAATCGATTCGAAGTCTGTAAAAGTAACTTCTGGATGACCAGAACGACCTTTAAACCAAAAGCAAACCAGTCCGTCAGCCTCGTTGTCTAGCTCCTAAGTCAGGCATGCTAACTCCGACCTTTTTTCGGCTCGTTTGCCGTTGGAAATCTACGCATTTTGCTCGTATCTTAACCTCGTATCTGAACGTTGAATTTGCTTTCATTCGACTTGAAATCAAATTTTCAATGATCACTTACTCAGCCATTCTGTCAAAATCTAAAGCCCAGTCCTATGTTTGACTACTGACAGTGATTTAGGTCAAAGAAGAGTCTAAATTAAAATCACATCAGGTCAGGCTAGCTTAATAGTAAGCCAAGAAAACTCAAAAGAGAATACTGGCTGTGGTGACCAACCGACATGAGCCATTCGACCATTCGACGCAGAATTTCACGCTGATTCCAAATCTGCTTTTCATTTCTGTTATGGAGCACTCAAAAGCTTTGTATGGGATTTTAAAACCCCGAGTTTATCATCAGATTTCCCAGAGGTGTAAAGCAGGAGTGGTGGCCGAGTGGCAGTGAGTTAGAATACAAGGCAAGGCATCGCTAGTTCGCTAGTTCGATTTAGAATACTTTATTCTCATTTCCAGCTTCGTTGTCAACTACACCGATTGCACTGAATCAAACGCTGCCGGCATTGCAGTCTACATGATCAAGCAGCGACAAGTTGACATGATTATTGGACCGGCTTGTGCTATAGGTGAGATTTTCGATGTCTTGTGTAACAACAAAAAGACTACTTTTAGCCATTCCACCAGTCGGCATTCTCACCACCTACTTTCAAACTGTTCAAGTAAACATTAAAAAGCTCTCATAGCTCAAAAAGCTCTCAAAAGCTATTGTGACACCGAATTTTCAGGTTGTTTGGGGTTTTGCCTCAGCCGCAACTCTAGCCGATAACACTCGCTTTCCCTACTTGACTACCGTAGTCCCAACTTTTCGACAGTAAGCAATTTCCCCTAAATTTTAAAAATCAGTTTTAGACTTGGCTTCTCATTTGTTGCCTTGACGCAAATGTTCAATTGGTGAGCTTTTTTATTTGAATTTTTTTTTTAAAACCAATCCTAGGAACACTGTGGCTTTTATCTATGCTGATGCCGGCTACAACAATTGTCCGACAATGATGAGCGATGTAGCGGTGAGAAAAATGAAAGGATTGTGCATTCTGGAACGCACACTAGTGTTTGCCAATGAAATTTTGCGGATCAGGATACTGTGAGCGATTCGACGAACAATCCGTCGAGCCAATGACAGATTTGCTTCAAATTCTGGAGCTTATAATAAGATTTATAATAATATTCAGTCAAGCTGGAAGGCACAACACTGTTTTCTAATTAAATTTCGGTGTCTAGGATACTTTAAAGATCCAGCGAACAATCCGTCGAGCAAATTACAGATTTGCTTGAAATTCTGGAGCTTATAATAAGATTTATAATAATATTCAGTCAAGCTGGAAGGCACAACACTGTTTTCTAATTAAATTTCGGTGTCTAGGATGCTTTCAACGATTCGGCATACAACTCGTCGTCGATCACGAGCAATCAACGCCTGGAGCGGAACTCAAATCAACAACAGATGGTTACCGCGCTTCTCAAAATCAAATCGAAAGCAAGAGGTGATCAATTTTCAAGATTCCTCACTTTTCCTTTTCCTTTTTCTTTGAAATTCTTGAAATTCTTGAAATTTTCCCTCTATCGTCACCATTTTTTGTTCTTTGTTTGTCTTGAAATCAAGAATTTCTCAAAATATTTGGGGCTTCTCAGGGAGAAAAACAGGATTTGAATTACAAAACTGATTCACTTTCTTGAAAGAATAGAACGCTCGGGATTTCGATTTCAAAAATAGTCTTGAAACCTGATTAGAGCAAAGATTTTGCTGGGTGTTGGTTTCCCTACAAAATGAATCGGAGCTTCAGTCAAGTGACATTTTCGCCAAAGAAAAAAATTAAGATTCGAAAACGGAACAGAGTTTTACAGGGCTTTAGCTTTCCCAAGGGTTGCTTAGAATCAGATCAAAACCAGAAGCCAGTCAGGTCCAGTCTTACTATTACTGTTGATCTGGTTCACTAAAAGTACCTAAACCTGCCAAGAGTTAAGCCTAAACATCTAGAAACAATCTTTGATCTCTACTGACCTTGTAGCCTGACACACAGCCTCAATTGGGACAGCTTGATCTAGAAAATCTGGTCTAGAAAGAACCTTTGATCTCTACTGAACTTCTTTAAACTATTGATGAACATTTTGCAAGGTTTTGATGCTGTTTTTAGCGTGAAATGCCTCAAATAAGGATCAACTTTGTACCGTAATCCCTGTAAAACTCTGTTCCGTTTTATTAGGTTGATGCATGAGTCTTTTCGTTTTTTTCGTACTTCTGTTAAAAAGTAACAAATTCACGAATTAATCTATAGTTTGCTCTATAAAAAAAGTGTTTTTTTTTTGTTCAATTTGCATCTTTTTAAATGAATTTCGGTTCACTTTGAAGCAAATTCGAGAGTGAAAAACGCCTTTTTCGTAAAAATCTATAAAAAACTCTACGGAAAAATTGGCTCAATGAATTTCTCTGAAATTTTGGCGAAATATCAAACGTTTTTTTTCTCTATCTTTTATCTATTGACACGAAGATAGGTTTTCTTTAGCTAAGGTGTCTAAACCGCTCAGGCTCAGGCTCAGGCTTAGGCTGAGGCTTAGCCTGAGCCTGAGCCTGAGCCTGAGCCTGAGCCTGAGCCTAAACCGCATCATCGAGTTAGCCCTTTTTGACTACCCGACTTCATACTCTCAAGAAAATCCAGGCATTCAATATTTTTAAACCCGTTTTAATGTTATTTTGCAGAAAAATAATTGCTTTTTCTAATGAAATCAACCGTAGTTTAATTCGTGCATTTGTTGGCTTGAAACCGCAGACGAAAAGGAACAAAAACACTTATGCATCAACCTAATAGAATCTTAATTTTTTTTTTTTTGGCGAAAATGTCACTTGACTGAGGCTCCGATTCATTTTGTAGGGAAACCAACACCCATAAAAAGTACCTAAACCTAGGTAATTTAGTAAACACTTATTCATATACCGTATTTCTTCGAATAGAAGACCGGGTAAAGAGTATCATCGCGTACTCGTGCGTAGCAGCGCTTTTTAAAATTTCTTTTTTTGCATAAAAGCTTTCAATGAAGTGCTATAGGGCTGGAAAATGACTCAAAAATACGACATTCACTAACAGATTTTTGAGCCATTTTTCAGCTCTATAGCACTTGATTGAAAGCTTTTATGCAGAAAAGAAATTTTAAAAAGGGAGTACACGATGATACTCTTTACCCGGTCTTCTATTCGAAGAAATAGGGTATATGTGTGTGTGTGAATACTAATATTTGATAAATCTCGATTTTTTTTTTTTGATCAACCCTCTTCCTTTGCATTAAAGCGAACGATTTCAATTTTGCTTTGGTCAGGTCAGCATAATTGCATAATTATATATATATGTTTTATTCAGTTGAATAGCGACAAAACAAAATCACAATAATTGACATAAAGCATAGAGCATACTTGACAACTTATAGCCAGTTTTTAAAACTGAAACTTGATATTAAATACTTAAATTGTAAAGAAAAAGTGGGAAAGGTGAAATGATTTGAAGAAAGCGACCTTCAAAAGACAATAAAAGACAATTTTTTCAATAAAAGTGTCTCTTAGAAAAAGGAATTTGTTAAACTCTACACTTTGCACTGCATAAAGTGAATGAATCACTCGTTTTGACTGAGTATTTCAAGAAGAGGTACAAATATATTCAGTCAAAAGGAGATGGAAATTTGGAGGAATGAAAATCAGAGGGAAGGGCGGCTAGGTTTAAAGGAGAAGGGGGCTATTTTTGAGAGGAGGGGATCACTGAGACGGAGGAGGGGATCACTGAGACGGGGGATCACTGAGACGGAGGAGGGGATCACTATCTTTTCGTTAGCCTCTAGGGACTACTAGTACAGTTTTTGCGATTTCCTGAAAATGTTGAGGAAACTAGAAGATTTCCCACAATTCCCACTTTACAGTAATCGCTGTTTGTATGCCAGACGATCGCTCGAAGAGGGATTTTCTCATCGCCACCACTTTGGCCGCAATGAATACGTGGGTTTGAAAAGATTTAATCGCATCTTCACCACAAATCCCCGTTACAATTCTTGCAAAATTGAGGGATTTCCCGAATTCGCAAAACAAAAATATTGAATTTCATTTAAAAAAAGGAAACTTAGCTTTTTTTTAGCTCCGACTACGTGTATGTGATGTTGGATTTGAAAGGTTTTGGACTAGGTCAACTGGCGCAAGGACCACCGGGAACGCAAACTTGTGAGCAGTTCAACGTTTAGAAGATGAGAAAGTTACCGTATACCCGAGCTTCATTTGAGTATACGATAGCTTGCGTAAGTCTAAGTCTAAGCCCAAGCTTCATTTGGGTCTACGTGAGCTTTCTCATCGTTTAGAATCCACACAACGGTACAGTAGCCGCCTTAGAATCTAAAAGAATTGATCCTTAATTGCCATTACTCTACGGTAATGCAAATTTTAAGTATCGAATGGCTTGACGCCAATTTGGATCGATACACTAAACAATAATCAAGATGGAATGAATATCGTCGCACAGAGAGCGGCCACGAGATTCTTTGTGGTAGGATTTTTCGAATTGGGTTACACAAATCAAAATTCAGCTAAACTAGCCTAAAATTAATTAAATTTGATATTTAAATTTGAGTTTTTTTATAAGAAAAAACTCTTCTAATCAGAATTTTTGAGCTTTTCTCTGTCGTCAGGGCATTTCAATTAGGTAATGAGCTTTGAAGATTCAAAACTTTCTTTAGAGATGATATTATTGTTAAGTTTTTATATGGCTTTAAAGAGGAGCTTTCAGGCTTTCAAATGATATAAAATAGAGCTTGTTTTAGAGGAAATAATTCTAAGAAAATCAAGAGAAAATCAGGAAAAGACGCTCAAAAGTTTAGACCAGTTAAAACCGAGTTTGAATTGGTAAATTCAATAAAATGAATCGCTCCAATCGATTCTCCGTCCCCGAAAGCCCGAGGGTGCAAATTTACAGCCAAATATCTTTATTTTATGCCATTTACAATGTAAAAATAAAAATCATGTAAATGTGCTAGGTGTTCTTTGTGCGGCCTGGTAATCGCTCGCTGCCTGGCACACGGGCCCGATAGATAGATGTTTCCTTCATAACGCTTCTTTCAGACGCTCCAAACGTGGGGCCGTGGTCTAGTGGATAAGTGTCCTGTTTCCAAGACAGGCTGCCAAGTCTTTGCTCGGGTTCGGTCCCCTCCCTTTGTTTTCATTTTATTTTGATGTTTAACCGCTCGAATTCACTGTATTTTAACTTTACAATAGTATTATGACAGCTATGACACTAGTTTTGGGCGCCACTGCCCTGTATTTCTGATACAAATGCTGCGTTCTGTTAAACTATTCTAAAGATTTGTGCAAGATTGATTGGGCGCTAAATTTGAGCATCTGTCCCCGAATTTTTAGGATTTTGTGCTCAAATTCAATGAGACAAACTCAAATCAAATTCCCAGATCGATTTGAACAACCAAGGCACAGTGAACGGCATGACAACAGCTCAATTGGCTCCACAAGTGCGAGCGAATATTCTTGGAAGTCCATTCTATTGCAATACGACCGCCTGCCTCAACAACAATCAATATAATGGGGTATTTTGAAGGCTTTCATTTAAAGCTCTCTTTCCCAGATCGGTTCATTCGCTCCTCAACTCTACGATGCTTTCATGTACTTTGCATATTGTTTGAATGCTTCTTTGGAAATTGATCCAATAAATGGTGGAAGGAATGAGACTGTGTTCAACACGGTGCGCACGACTGTTTCATTTGCGGGTAAGACTGGTGACTAAAGCAACTCGAAGAGCTACCGGGATACTGTAGCTTGTCCGACAGCAAACTACAAACGCTTCTAACTTGCTTCAAATCTATTGGATTGACACGATCTATAGCTCAAAAAATAGAGAATCTCAAGAGCTTTCGAATGAACTAAAGTAGACCGAAAAAGATCAATTCTAAAGAAAGTTACAGTGGTTTGTAGAGGTCCTGATTCGATCGTCTAATCTAATCGTTGCTCATAGTAGTTCAGTGTAGTCTATTGTAGCTTGTACTATAGAAAAGAGGAGGCTGTAAGAGTATAGCTGTCTACTGTAGTACTATATATAAGTAAACCGTGAATCTATCATTTCCAGGGTGGTCCGGGATGATTCAAATGACACCAAACATCACTCGAGTCCCCCGTTTCTATCTCTATGGAATGATGGCCGATGGACAGTCGACGACGAAATTTATGAACTTTACCTGGACCGGGAATGTGGATTATATGGTAAGCCTGTAATTGATGTTGAATACTTGTTAGATAGTGAAGTTGAAACTGGTCCTGAAACCAAGACCAAGGCAGGGGGCCTAGCTTGGCCTAGCTAGGCCTAGCTTGGCCTGGCCAGCCTCATTGGGTACGGCCAACCAACTCAAAATCTGATCCTTGATCCAAATTTGTACTTGAATCCTTTCAGGTGGCCACTCCGCTGTATCTCGACGAAGCTTCTTCAATTTGGGCCTTACGAGGCGGTGTCCGACCATTGTCAACGCCAGTTTGCGGGTAATAACTGATAATACTGTAGACTTGAATTGAAAACCACTAGACTACAAAAGAGTACTGTAGACTGGTACTAAACCAGTACTAAACCAGTACTAAACTTGAGATCCAATCCCGCATTCCAGCTTTCTCGGCACCGAGTGTCCATTGTCAACGTGGGAACAAAGTGGAATGTACATTTGTATAGGAGTTGGTCTTGTTCTCTTTGTTCTCATTTTGCTCGCTTTTCTTGGATGCTATGTTTGCAGGTGGGGAAATAATAAAACTAAACAGAAATATTTCAGAGAAAAACGAAAAGAATTGGAGAGAAGAGATGCTGAATGGACTGTGCCGTATCTGTCGTTGGAGAGACCAAATGGAAGGTCAAGTAGGGTACGGTAGTTTACTGTAATTGCCCTAGAAGGGTACTGTAGCTTGGCCAATGTGCCTTGGCTTGGTCAATGTGCCTTGGCTTGGTCAATGTGCATTGGCTTGGTCAATGTGCCTTGGCTTGGTCAATGCGCCTTGGCTTGGTCAATGTGCCTTGGCTTGGCCAGCGGTACTGTAGTAGGGTAGTGTAACACTTGTCTTAACTTTTTATAGAAAGCGATTTTGCCAAAACAGAAAGCAGCCTCGGAATAAGCGTGTAATTCTGCGTCGAATGGCCTTTTTATTTGGCCATCCTACTGTTACATTTCCCTTTTAAACTACTGTACGCGCCTAGCACCAAATACTACAGTACTCTGACTACCTTACCCTATTGCCCATTATCAGCTATGGCTTATGGTTTGTCTCATTAAGCTAAATCCAACTGTTGTCTTTCCCTTGTAAACTCTTTGATTATAATAAGCCCATAATATTTGTGTTACTTGAATTACGGTACAAATCTTGACTACAACCTGTTTTAATAATCACATCAACATCAAGCTTTTTCAACATCTAAAAAGCAATGCCAGTCGTGTTTAATGCCGAGCAATCGCATACAAAACTTTGCACACTTATAACTTTTGACAGAATGCCGTTTAGCTAAAACGGAAAGCAAATTCGGAATGAGCGTTTAATCATGCTTCGAATGGTTTATGGATTATTTCATTTGACTACATCCCACTGTTGCTTTTCCCTTTTTAGATAATCAAGGACCTCTCTAGGGATCTAGAGAGTACAGAATACTGTACTCCCTAGATACCGTACCCTATTGCCCCATTCTATCAGTGCTTAACTACTCAAGCTGCAGCACTCATTCCAGTAGCGTTTGATGCCGAGCAATCGCATACAAAACTTTGCGCGCTTATAACTTTTGACAGAATACGGTTTAGCTAAAACAAAAAGCAAATTTGGATTGAGCGTGAAATTCTGCGTCGAATGGTTTATCGATTATTTCATTCAGCTACATCCTACTGTTGCTTTTCCCTTTTTAGATAATCAAGGACCTCTCTAGGGATCTAGGGAGTACAGGATACTGTAGAATGATCAAGTGTCAAGTAATGATCAAGTACTTCCCAATTCTATCACCAAATCTCAAGTTGACATCCAGAATGAACATTTAGATGGAAGAGAAAAGCATGAACTCGCTGCGTTCCTCAAAATCCTCCAAGTCTTCGAACTCGAAATTTTCAATGGGCAGCAAGGGTGAAACGGAAATGTTTGCATATTTTCTTTTTCAAAGTAAGTTTTAGGGTTAATTCTTAAAAACTTAACTTAAATCAGGTGAACCGGTGATGGCGTACAAGTACAAAATGTTACCAAAGTTGACGAATGAGGATTTCGCCGAGTTCAGATTAGTGAGTGAAAAAAATAAGCAAAAGCAATGAACAAACGCCTCTGAATCCCTAGTGACATCCAAAATTACAGCTCCGAAAACTGGAACACGATAACGCGCACCGATTCATTGGAATTTGCCACGATCACTCGCCGATGATGTCCCTTTGGAAATTCGCCAGTAGAGGAACCCTAGAGGTTGTTTTTGCCTAAAAAAATTGCAAATTCAACCCTCAGGAAGTGATCTCTAAATCTTCGATAAATCTGGACGCTTTCTTCGCAATGTCATTGATTCGTGACCTCTCGGAGGGGTTGAATTTCATCCACAAATCATTTCTAGGTGTTCATGGGAATTTAAGGTCTAGAAATTCACAGGCAATCCAAACTGGAAGTCATTTCAGTTCCTCAACATGTTGGATCGATGAAAGATGGCAGTTGAAAGTTAGCGGTTATGGGTGTTCGAGTCTGAGGAAAGGGGAAAAAGTCGACAAATGGAGTGGGAACGAAGAAATTTGGTGTTAATCTTGAAATCAACATTCCAGGACAATTATGGCATGCACCTGAGCTTTTGCGTTATTCGGATTCTCTTGGAACAAAAGAAGCTGATGTTTATGCGTTTGCTATTATCTGTTCAGAGATCGTCACTCGGAAAGGCGTTTACGATTTGGTGAATCGAAACGAGAAGATTGAAGGTAAAGGGAATTGATTTGGGTTTAAAATCGGGTTCCAGAACTTCTAGTAACGATCTCTGAACCTTGAATCTTCTCGTTTCGATTCACCAAATCGTGGATTCAGAGATCGTTTACGATTTGGTGAATCGAAATGAAAAGATTGAAGGTAAAGGAAAATGATTTGGCTTTTGAAATCGAGTCCCAGAACTCCTAGTGACGATCTCTGAACGTTCAATCTTCTCATTTCGATTTACCAAATCGTAAACGATCTAACGTAACTGAACCACGATTTGGTGAATCGAAATGAGAAGATTGAAGGTAAAGGGAATTGATTTGGGTTTAAAATCGGGGTCCAGAACTTCTAGTAACGATCTCTGAACCCTGAATCTTCTCGTTTCGATGCACCAAATCGTGGATTCAGAGATCGTTTACGATTTGGTGAATCGAAATGAGAAGATTGAAGGTAAAGGAAAATGATTTGGCTTTTGAAATCGAGTTCTAGAACTCCTCCAGAACAGTTTTAGAGAACGCCATTGAGGGTGAAAAATGCAAATTTACGTTTAATTTCATCATTTACATCAAATTTTAGAGCTTTTATATATGATAAAGAAAGGTGGATCGGTGCCGTTGAGACCCGATTTGGACATACCAGAGGACATCGAACTGAATCCAGCATTGGTATCTTTAAAGATCAAACTTTTCCCTATTCCTAGACATCCAGTACTTGAGAAAGGACTTTTAATCAGAGCTTTGGTCATAACTTTTTATAGAATCATCGAATGCAAATGATTTTTGTGTTAATCGATAGAAAATACTCTCCCGCGTCGAATGACATCAAAAAAAAGGCTAATACGATAAGTTTATGAAAAGTTATAGCCAAAAGTACTTTGGACACCTATAGACGGAAGAGAAATGTCTAGGAATTGAATAACTTTGACTAAAACTGACTAAAAGCATTTTTTTTCTCTTCCCAATATCTTCTGTGCGTTCCAGCTTCACATGATTCGCGATTGTTGGTCGGAAACACCGGACAGTCGCCCTACAATCACCACCATCAAGACAATCATCCAATCGATGGCTGACAAAAACGGAAATCAACAGAATTTAATGGATCATGTCTTTCAAATGATGGAATCCTATGCGGAGACATTGGAGAAAGAGGTGAATTTGAATCTAATTTTCAAGAAATCAAGAAATCTCCTTCAGGTACAATCGAGAATGGCTGAGCTTGTCGAGGAGAAGAAAAAGAGTGATCTGTTGCTGTATCGAATGTTGCCAAAGTAAAAGCTGGATGTCACAATGGATTTTGAAACGATTTTTAGACCAGTAGCTGATCGTTTAAAACTCGGGCAATCAGTGGAGCCTGAATCTTTCGAAAGTGTCACGATTTTCTTCTCCGATGTCGTTCAATTCACGAATTTGGCTGCAAAATGCACTCCGTTTCAGGTAAAACCCAATTCAAGTGGGTTGTTTTGAACCAAGCCTAACCATAAGTCGGCTCCTGAGCTGGGCTGAGCTGGGCTGAGCTGGGCTGAGCTGAGCTGAGCTGGGCTGAGCTGAGCTGAGCTGGGCTGAGCTGAGCTGAGCTGGGCTGAGCTGAGCTGAGCTGGGCTGAGCTGAGCTGAGCTGGGCTGAGCTGAGCTGGAGCCTGGCCACCAAAAGCCAGTACCTGGATCTAATCTGGCTCCGTTTCAGGTAAAACCCTACAATCAGCCAGAGTATAGTGACAACAATATCGTATTTCACGTTGTTCTAGCTTTCCAGCTTGACTAAGGCCTCTGGTCTGGCTCAGGCTTAGGCTTAGGCTTAGGCTCAGACTTTAACCTAAAATGGTCACAGAATGAACTACCGTATTCCAGATCGTGAACCTCCTCAACGATCTCTACACCACATTTGATACAATCATTGAGCAGCATTCGGTTTACAAGGTAAATATCAGAGTTGATTAAAGCAAGTTGAGCCTCGGATTTCTTTCTCTTTCCCCTTGTATTTCCTCTTTCTAGCTTTCTAGCAACAATATACTGAATAGCTGAATGATTACAGCATCTACTCGGATACCAAAAACCAACTCAAAAAGATCGATAGGTCAATCCCCTCGGAAATCTTTCTCTGCCATTCCTTACTTTACTATTTTACTATAGACCGGCCCATAAAATGTTCATGAACGGGCTCTGACCTAGACATGGGAAGGTCAGTTTTTGTCGGATCGGGTCACCTCGTATGAAAGTTAATCAAAGCAAGTTGATCAAATCAAGCTGATCTTTAGGTGGAAACAATTGGTGATGGTTATCTTTGTGTATCTGGTCTTCCCTATCGTAATGGAATCCAACACGTGAAAGAAATCGCTGAAATGTCGTTGGACTTCTTAGGAGCTGTTAAGGTAAAAAGAAACTTACATTTGGTTGAAACTTCTAACTTCTAAATGCAAATTTTCAGACTTTCTGCATTCCTCACCTTCCTTCCGAGTCGATTCAACTTCGAATTGGAATGCATTCTGGCTCCTGTGTATCCGGGGTCGTTGGATTGGCAATGCCAAGGTGAATCGACTTTTAACGAAGATCAAGAGCTATCAAGTTTTTAGATATTGTTTATTTGGTGACACAAAAGAAAGCTTTTTAAAAAAGAGTTACCATAATTTTCTGAATGCTGTTGTTTCCAGATATTGCTTGTTTGGTGACACGGTGAATACAGCGTCCAGGATGGAAAGCAATGGGAAACGTGAGAGAAAAATTAAATTTTATCAACAAATAAATCCTCCAGCTGGTCAAATTCACATGTCTTGTGATGCTCAAAATTTGTTGCAACGAGTTGGCGGCTATTTGATTGAATCGAGGGGTGAAGTGATTATTAAAGTGAGTTCTGGAAGGCACTAGCACTAGAAGGACTAGAAGCACTAGAAGCACTAGAAGGACTAGAAGGACTAGAAGGACTAGAAGGACTAGAAGGACTAGAAGGACTAGAAGGACTAGAAGCACTAGAAGCACTAGAAGCACTAGAAGGACTAGAAGGACTAGAAGGACTAGAAGGACTAGAAGGACTAGAAACACTAGAAGGACTAGAAACACTAGAAACACTAGAAGGACTAGAAGGACTAGAAACACTAGAAACACTAGAAGGACTAGAAGCACTAGAAGCACTAGAAGCACTAGAAGGACTAGAAGGACTAGAAACACTAGAAGGACTAGAAGCACTAGAAGCACTAGAAGGACTAGAAGGACTAGAAGGACTAGAAGGACTAGAAGGACTAGAAACACTAGAAGGACTAGAAGCACTAGAAACACTAGAAGGACTAGAAGGACTAGAAGCACTAGAAACACTAGAAGGACTAGAAGCACTAGAAGCACTAGAAGCACTAGAAGGACTAGAAGGACTAGAAGGACTAGAAGGACTAGAAGGACTAGAAACACTAGAAGGACTAGAAACACTAGAAACACTAGAAGGACTAGAAGGACTAGAAACACTAGAAACACTAGAAGGACTAGAAGCACTAGAAGCACTAGAAGCACTAGAAGGACTAGAAGGACTAGAAGGACTAGAAGGACTAGAAGGACTAGAAACACTAGAAGGACTAGAAACACTAGAAACACTAGAAGGACTAGAAGGACTAGAAGGATTAGAAGGACTAGATGCACTAGAAGCACTAGAAGGACTAGAAGCACTAGAAGGACTAGAAACACTAGAAACACTAGAAGGACTAGAAGGACTAGAAGGACTAGAAAGACTAGAAGGACTAGAAGGACTAGAAGGATTAGAAGGACTAGATGCACTAGAAGCACTAGAAGGACTAGAACCACTAGAAACACTAGAAGCACTAGAAAACAATCTAAAGCAATCTAAAGTCAACGAATTTGAATCCAAATTTGTAGGGAAAAGGAGTGATGGAAACATTCTGGTTGTTGGGTCGATCTTCATTCAATTTTCAAATCAAATCAAATACAAATCAATCAAATCCATTGAAGGAACAAAAGCACTCGGAAAAGAAGAAAACTTTCCGAGAAATGGAAACAAGAAGAGCCTCGGTTGATGAATCGCTTGAGTCGCTGGAATATTGATCTCTGATTTGAACTATTGATTTGATCTATTGATTTGATTGATTAGTTTTCGGGGCAATGTACAAAATAAATATTTTATCGCTAAATGTTTTCAAATCACACAATTCAACATCAGAAAATAGCATGAAGAAGCTCTACTACCGTAAATACTGTAATAGCACCCCACCCGCATAATGACGGTGCGGAGCGTTGCGTAGTCTAGCTTTGAACGCGTTTTTCTCGACACTGGTTTATGCTACAATGTGCGTTCAGATATCAAAAAATAGCTGAAATTCAGGGCTATTTTTTGACACCAAAGACACATTTTTTGAAAGTACGGGTGCAAAAAATGAAATACTAAAAGACTTTTGCGACTACGCGACTGTACGAGGGCGGTGGGGGACTATTAGGTTGTCCGGGATGAAAATACCTCGAAAAACTCGTTCAAAGCTAGACTACGCAACACTCCGCACCGTCATTATGGGGGTGCGGTACTATTACAGTATTTACAGTAGGTTGAGACAAATGAAATTTCGATCATTATAAAATTCTTTTTTTTAATCTTTTTATTATTAGAAGAAGCACCGTTTTCTAGTACTAGATCCATCGAATCGTATTTCCTATAATTAAACCCCATGGAGCACTATTTTTTACATACCCCCCCGGGGTAGGCTAATTTCCGTAATTTTTTTTTTTGCGCAACTCACCATAACTTTCTTCTAAGTGGAGCAATCTTTATGATTTTTATTTCATTTTATAAATATCAATAAGTGCAACAAAATGTGCCTTTAAAAGTGTTTGGGGGTGGGTGAAAATGGTTTTAGCTACCATGAAAGGTAAAGTCACGGACAAAAGTATGGCACCATCGGACTATCATCTGTTCAGGTATTTTGTCCAGAATCGTCCGATTATCATTTTTTTCAGGTCTCTGGAGCATCATTTGCGTGGAAAGATCTTTCAAAACGTCGAGGAAATGCGCTTGTCACTCACTCAGTTTTTCGATTCGAAGCCACGTGAGTTTTACCGCCGCGGAAGCTGTTGGGTTTTCCAGTTATGAATGCGCGTTTTTTACTATTTTGTAAATTTCTCAAGATACCGAAATCAAGAAAAAGATATATATGAGTATTATTCGAAAGCTGAAGATCTCCTCTACATTTTGATATAAAAAGTTTTTGAATTTGTTCAGCTTTTGGGCAAATTGACTGCACAGAAGAAGAGGTGGGCGAAAAATGGAAAGGTGCCTTTGGATCAAGTTTTGGCTCCGCTCAAATTGAGTTAACCGTTTGATGTTTGGCCAATAGATATATCAATACAACTTTTTTTAAAATATAACAATTTCAGAGCATCTTTACTTTTCTTTTCTTTTCTGAGCGGTTATTTTACACCATAAAACTTGAGGAATAGCTAAGCTGAAATGGGTTTTTTCGAAAACGACCCCTCCCTTTGTGCAGTCAATTTCCCAAAAAGTTGAAAGAATTCAAAAACGATTTTTATTCCAAAATGTAGAGAAGATCTTCAGCTTTCGAATGGTATATAACACTCATATACATCTGTTCGATATCTTGAGAAATTTAAAAAATAGTAAAAACGCGCATTCATAACTGGACAACCCAATATTTGTTGCCGGATAAGTGGCAGGATTTTATTGATGTTGACGGTGAATATTTCGAGTAGATAAATTCCGTTTTTTTATTTGGCGTTTTTGATGCGTAAAATAAAAAGTTAGATCTAGCGGGCAAAAAACGGAAAGAACTTTCCGGCCAACCTAATACAAAATGGCTTTTTTGAATCTTTGAAAAGTGTTTTATTTTAGAACTTTTTCAGGCATTGTAAGAGTTGAAAATCCTGATTTCTAGCATTCATGAGCTAATAGATTTTTCAGTGATTGCACTACTTTTTAAAATAAAACGCTTTATTGATTACATAGTTTCCCAAAATTTCAAAATTTCAGAACAATCCAATCTTCGGAAGGTTGATTTTCAAATTAGACTCAAAATGCACTTTTGTGCTAATTTAATCCATTTTCGTTTGAAATTTAAGCAAGATTAAAAAAAAATGAAAGAGTTCGATCGATTGGATTGTTGTGAAATTTTGGGAAACTATGTAATCGATAAAGCGTTTTATTTTAAAAAGTATACAATCACTCAAAAATCTATTAGCTCATGAGTGCTAGAAATCAGGATTTTCAACTCTTACAATGCCTGAAAAAGTTCTAAAATAAAACACTTTTCAAAGATTCAAAAAAGCCATTTTATAGATTAAGGATAGGACTTTTGAATGAAGCAAACCGTTTTTTGATTGGATAAGCCGTTTTTCAGAAAAACACATTACCCAAAAAACGATCTTTTATAACTTGCCAACCTAATAGTTCCCTTTGTAGAGAAAAGGAACCAAATCTGTACCGAAAAGGAATCAATTACCAATTATTTTCTGATCACTGCTTTGTTGTTACTTCGCAAAGACAAGAAAAAAAGCACATTACCAAAAACGATCGTTTATAACTTGCCAACCTAATACAACCATCAGCTTTGAATTTTATGCATTGAATTTTGACTAACTGCAGAGCAGTGGCAATTCGCCACAATTTGCATTTGAAAAAGTTTGCTTATGCAAAGCATAGGGTTACAGTAGCTTATATTTGGCATGCACTTTTTAGGAAACACGTAATCTGCAAGGAACACACTCCAGTTAGAATAGACTCTAGGCTACAACCAGATTTCTGTTTTCACCGTATACTGGAAGATTTCCAAAGGAAAAAAAAACAAGATCACAAAGCTTTTAAGCCGAAAAACTAATCATTTTCAAGTTTTTCGAATTTCTATGACCAATCTGGAAACCATAAAACGTGAATCTCTGACTCTTTTACAGAATTTTCAAAAAATTCAAAGAGTTCAACAAAATTTTTGCTTATTTAATGGTAAAGGTTTCTCGCCTACAAATCCGAGGAATCATTTCAAAAAAAAAGGTCTATGGTTTCTTTTGGTGTTAGGTTTCAAGATTTTCAAGAATTTTCAACAATGTTGAAGAAAGAAAAAATTGGTTTTGAAGTTCTAATGACACACTTCTTTTGCAAGGCTTCCTGGATGCGGATTTGAAGTTTTTTTAAAGGCAAAAATCTGAGATTTCTATCAGAAAACATTCAACGTCTGTTTTCAATTTAATACCTTGAAATTGTGAGAAGATTTTTTTTTGAAAAATGCTTTTCCTGTTCTTGCTTTTCGTGCAATGGATACAAGCACAATTGATTGCAAATTCGACGAGCGATTTTTTCGTCTTGAATACGGTTTGTCTTTTTGTCTTTCTGTCTTTCTATCTTTCTGTCTTTTTAGGCTAATATTCTAATAAAGCCATCAACTACTTAGCCTTTTAATTGATTGATTTTGATTGATATCTATAAAATCAATAGTATAGATGTCTAATCTTTGAAAGTCTATTTCTGGATCGAAATGAAAACTCTCTAGACTTCCCTCCCGTCGACCACAATCCCCACGACCGGCACCACTCAGTCAATCGTCCAAAAAACGACGTTCACCGTTGGAATGATTGGTTTGCCTTGTCGAATTTCTATTTCATCTCTTTCTCTTTCCAGTAACCGAAGTCCAACAACAGCAAATCGGTTACTCGATAACGGGCGGAGTGATCGCTGTAGCTCTTGGGGAAATCGCTCGCATCCATTTGTTGGATACAATCGAGTTTGAGTACTGAAATGCTTGAATTTTTGATAAAGATTAGCATAATTCTAGATTCATTGTCAATTACACCGATTGCACGGAGGCAAATGCGGCAGGGGTTGCCGTCTACTTGATGAAGGAGAGAAATGTCGATGTAGTGCTTGGACCAGCTTGTGGAGCGGGTAGGATTTTGAAGCTGTTACTGAGAAAAGCTTGCGTGACATCCAGATAGACGAAAACAGTTTAAATGGCTGACACTTGTCTTTTAAATTTACGCTAAACTCAATTGAGCTAAATTCCATTCCAGCGATCATCCCCGTCGGCTTCTTGAGCACCTACTATGAGACTCTGCAGGTGCTGTGACATCCAGAATCTACAAATTTGCTGTTTAGGTGGCTTGGGGTTTTGCCTCGGCAGCAACATTGTCTGATACGACTCGTTTCCCATATTTGTCTACAGTTGTCCCAAATTATAAACAGTTTGTACCATTTTTTAATATTAAAATTCCGTTTTTAGACTTGGCTATGCTTTTAATTCACTTCTGCAAATGTTCAATTGGTTAGTTGAATACCATTTTTCTTTTAGACAATGATTTCAGGGATACGATGGCGTTGTTCTATGGTGACGATGGCTACGGAGCTTGTATCGATATGATGAGCGATGTGGCGGTAAGGGGAAATCGTTCGAAACTTAATCCTGGAACGCACGAACACATTTTAGACTAGCAGCTATGTTTAAGCCTAAGCGGCGTTTAAGCTGCGTAAACCGTGGCCGGTCTATAGTGCTTACTGAACAAGAGCAGTGCCGTGTGCTTCGCTCTAAATGCGATCCTGGAACGCACGCTACATTTAGGATGCACTAACGGATCCAATTTTCAACTCGACATCAATCGCTAGTACACAAAAGGTGGATCTCACCAGTGGCACGCGGCAGCCAATGATTACCGCCTTACAAAAGCTACGAGCACGAGCAAGAAGTTCGTTTTGTCTTTTTTTGTTTTCAAATATGTAAGAAGAATGTTCTAATTTCTTATTGACCTTTTTGACGAAATTTTTGACTTTTTTAAAAATCGTTACCGTAAACCGGGAAAACGAAAAAAAGAAAAACTAAGGTTTCCAGTTATTGGAGTTTGTCTTCCGGATGATCAAGCAAAGAGAAATTTCCTGATTGCAACGACTGAAGCTGGCATGAATGGGTGAGAAGATTAGAGAGATAAAGGGAAATGTAAAGAGTTACTGCAACTAGGGCTACTGTTACTGTAAAGTGTAAGGTAAAGCTTTGCTTTGATCGCTACAATTCTTTCAAATCTTTAACCAACTTTCCAGCACTGATTACGTTTACGTTTTGTTGGATCTACGGGGATTCGGTTTCGGACAACTTGGACAAGGAACAGCTGGACAAATTAAATGTTAGCAAATCAGAGAATTAGCAAATCAGAGGATCAGAGAATCAGCAAATCAACAAATTAGAAAATCAGAAAATTAGAAAATCAAAAAATCAGAAAATCAGAACCAAATAGGAACCAAATAGGAACTACAAAGAGCTAAATAAAGATCAAATAGAAACTAATTAGGAACTACAAAGAGCTAAACAGGAACCAAATAGCAACCAAATAGGAACTACAAAGAGTGTAAGCAAAAAATCAGCAAATCAAAAAATCAGAAAATCAGCAAATCAGTAAATCAGAAAATCAGCAAATCAGAAAATCAGCAAATCAGAAAATTCAAAACTATTTGAAATTTAGTGGACAGCGGGTTGACTCCCGTTTGGTACGATACGGTGAATGGGAATAAAGATGGATTGGATTCTGTGGCACAACAGGCTGCAACACAAGTGCTCGTGGTTGGATATCTCTATATAAAAGAGCAGCGTCTGTCCGTACAGCCATTTTCCCGTTTTGTCTAGCTTCTTTAGAAAAACCTTAGAATAAATTGTAGTTGTGCCATTGAAATCAAAAATTCAAAAGTCAAAGTTCACTGGCACTACGAGGGGTCGAAATGGGGCCATAAGCGGGGCTTCAGTGGGTTCGCTTAAAGTTCGGGCCTTAAGGTGAGAGGGGCTTAAAGTGGGTTCGCTTAAAGTTCGGGCCTTAAGGTGAGAGGGGCTTAAAGTGGGTTCGCTTAAAGTTCGGGCCTTAAGGTGAGAGGGGCTTAAAGTGGGTCCGCTTAAAGTTCGGGCCTTAAGGTGAGAGGGGCTTAAAGTGGGTTCGCTTAAAGTTCGGGCCTTAAGGTGAGAGGGGCTTAAAGTGGGTTCGCTTAAAGTTCGGGCCTTAAGGTGAGAGGGGCTTAAAGTGGGTTCGCTTAAAGTTCGGGCCTTAAGGTGAGAGGGGCTTAAAGTGGGTTCGCTTAAAGTTCGGGCTTTAAGGTAAGCGGGGCTTCAGTGGGTTCGCTTAAAGCTTTAGTGTTAAAGCCAAGTCCTGCCCATTAAGAGTGGGATTTAACCTCTTGTCTCATAACTTTGCATGGATATTAGATTTTGAGTTCATTTTGGTATCATTCGACGCGCAATTTTATTTTGCATCGAATTAATCTATCAACTCTATCGAATGATATTTAAAATATTCAAAAGCGAAGGGTTGATGCTGAGAAAAGCAGGAAAAACCTTAAATTGCCAACGGCAAAAAAAGGACTGGCAGATTTCTTTCGTCTACGTCTTAAAGTGGGTTAGCTTAAAGTTCAGACCTTAAAGTGAGTGGGGCTTAAAGTGGATTAGCTTAGGGTCCACTTTAAGCATACAAGTCTACTGTAGCTTATAAAAGCTTTAAATTTCAGACACTACTAAAAAAAAAGCTTTTCAGATTGATTTGACTAATCAGGGAACAGTGAATGGACAAACAACAACTCAATTATCACCGCAGGTATCGAGTATCGAGTTTTAAAGTATCGAGTTGACACTAAAATGCGCTCTGTCGACTACTTATTGTAGTCCAACCACTTCAAAGAACGAATTCTGTGAAATTAAACAGCTTTTCAGCGTTTATGACTTCCAGAATCAATCAAAAAAATCAATTCCAGGTACTCGACAATGTTCGAGACGCTCCATTGTACTGCAATACGACCGATTGCTTGCAAAACGATTCGAAGTACACGGGCGGGGTAAATTTAAACGATCCAATTGTATTTGGAAGAGGCTTTCTCTGAATCTCCAAACCCTTAGATTGGTTCTTTTGCTCAACAACTCTACGATGCTTTCATGTATTACGCGTATTGTCTAAACGCATCGATGGCTCTCGATCCGATCAATGGCGCACGGAATCAAACGGTTTTCCAGGCTGTTCGGAATACTGTAGCCTTTTCAGGTTTGAGGGGATTCAATCTGGAAGTCATGCTTTTATTTGAAGAGTGGAAAAATGTTGTTTAGTCGAATTCTCATCAATTCGAAAGAAATTCGATTTTAGGTTGGTCTGGAGCGATTGCAATGACGCCGAATGCAACGAGGGTGCCCAGATTTTTCCTTTATGGAGTCACAATTACAGGTTGGCTTTGGAATTGAGGAGATTTTCTGGAAAATGTTTTGATGAAACAAACGGTTTTCCGATCGGAACCAAACGGTTTTCCCAGCTGTTATTATGATGTAATAGGAATATAGTAAGATTTCTTGGAAATGCAATCTTTATCTAATCTTTATCTAATGTTTATCAATCATAAAACTTCAGGTTTAACCACTCGTTTCGTCAATTTCACTTGGGCTGGTCAAGGGGATTATATGGTAAGGGAAATCGTTTGAATTGTTGAGCTAGAGCTTGAGCTAGAACTTGAGCTTGAGCTAGAGCTAGAGCTAGAGCTTAAATGCCAAAGGATTGAATTAAACCTTTCAATTGAATCTTTGAATTGATCTGAACCATTTCCCTGGTTTGAATTTCGAAAATCATAAGTTCAGATCTCTACACCAACCTTCACTGACGAAGCCTCATCGATTTGGGCAGCACGCGGCGGTGCCCGACCATTATCCACCCCAATTTGCGGGTTTGGCTTTCATTTCATTTACACAAACAATAGAAGCTTCTTTTGGGGGCAAAAGGAGGCAAACCCCGCGATCTCTCTCCTCCGTTCGTTTAACAAATTCGCGTCGAGGCGTTTTTTTAGCGTTACTGCCTCAGTGGACGAGGGGTGCCTCTTAGCGCCAAAATCTATTAGCTATTAGCGCCGAAATACACCTCCTATATGTAAAATTTCATGCTGAATCCGAATCTCTAATCAGATTTTCAAAATTTTCCTGCCTCAAAAAGATATCGGCTCTTTTTGGCTCGTGAGACAAAACGCCGCATTTCTCTTTCTCCAATGGTCTGTTTTCCACGATTTTTGTTTTATTGGATGGAGCTCAGTTAGATGAACATTTCATATCAACATCATTTTTTTGATAAGACTCTATCCCGAAAAGTTATGACCGTTTTACTGGGATACGCTCAATAGAGGTCTTCTATAGCGTAGTCGGTAGAGCCTCTGTCTCTGGGGCGGGAGGGGTTTCGTCCGATGGACCGAAACCGTCCCAGGGGCCAGATGGTCTTCGTCCACCGGTGGATCGAACCGTCCTAGGGGCCAGACGGCCTTCGTCCACCGGTGAACCGAACCGTCCCAGGGGCCAGATGGTCTTCGTCCACCGGTGGATCGAACCGTCCTAGGGGCCAGACGGCCTTCGTCCACCGGTGAACCGAACCGTCCCAGGGGCCAGATGGCCTTCGTCCACCGGTGGACCGAACCGTCCTAGGGGCCAGACGGCCTTCGTCCACCGGTGAACCGAACCGTCCCAGGGGCCAGATGGCCTTCGTCCACCGGTGGACCGAACCGTCCTAGGGGCCAGACGGCCTTCGTCCACCGGTGAACCGAACCGTCCCCAGGGGCCAGATGGTCTTCGTCCACCGGTGGACCGAACCGTCCTAGGGGCCAGACGGCCTTCGTCCACCGGTGAACCGAACCGTCCCAGGGGCCAGATGGCCTTCGTCCACCGGTGGACCGAACCGCCCCAGGGGCCAGACGGCCTTCGTCCACCGGTGAACCGAACCGTCCCAGGGGCCAGACGGCCTTCATCCACCGGTGGACCGAACCGCCCCAGGGGCCAGATGGCCTTCGTCCACCGGTGGACCGAATCGTCCCGAACGTGTTAAAAGACGCATGCGTTAACCATTCGACCACTCAATGGCGCATTGCGAGCGCACTTCTCTTTAGCTCACACGATCACGGGTTCGACTCCCGCCCATGTCAGCGGTTTTTTAATTTAAAAATATTTTCCATAACTACATGCAATTCTAAATGAAACTAACTAGAAATTATTTGAAAAGGTTAACAAAAAATTTCATTTTTAACGATTTTTTTCAGATTTCTGGGCACTGATTGCCCGCTAACAACCTGGGAACAAAATGGGATTTATATTTGTGTTGGTGGAGGAGTCCTCATTCTACTCGTTCTTCTCTTCTCTGTGCTTTTAGTCTACATTACTCGGTAAGGTGGAGTTGAAAGTTCATAGATTAGATAGTTTATGAGGTTACTGTAGTTACGATTACTGTAGCCTATAGCTTACTTAGTCTATGTGATTACTGTAGCCTATAGCTTACGTAGTCTATGAGGATACTGTAGTTTCGATTACTGTAGCCTGTAGCTTACTTAGTCTATAGCTTACGTAGTCTATGAGGTTACTGTAGTCTACAAATTACTGTAGACCTTAGTTGACTGGTTGTAGCTTACTGTAAACTTACTGTAGGCTGAGTCTGAGTCTGAGAGTGATAGGCTGAGCCTACAGTAACCCTACTATAGGCTTGTCTGATGCACGATTACTGTAGCCTGATTACTTCTTTAGTGAAAAGCGAAAAGAACGAGAGCGACTTGACGCCGAGTGGCAAATCCCGTATGTCATTCTGGACCGAGCCGGTGGAAGGAATAGTCGAGTAAATCATTGATTCTAATCAAATCCACTTACAGTGTGACATCCATAACACTCAAAAAACTCAATATAACACCTAGAATCTCATTCAGAACGAAGAAAAGAGCATGCACTCTCTTCACTCCTCCAAATCGTCTCACTCGAAATTCTCGATGGGTAGCAAGGCTGAGACGGCGAATTTGGCATACTTTATGCTATTTGGTAGGCTTAAATGCGAATTTATAATGAGAATTTGAGACTTTTTCTTTTCCAGGTGAACCTGTTTCTGCTTACAAGTACAAGACGATACCGAAATTGGTGAATGAGGATTTTGCTGAGTTCAGAATGGTAATGAGAACGATTTTTTAGATTTAATAGATAGAGATTAGAGAATTCTAGCAAGAAAAGTTTGAAAAATAGCTGTTAAAGTGGGAGCTTGCGTGGTGAAATACCACTACTTTCACTGATTCCTTACTTACTCGGTGACACGGGAGCTTGCGTTTACTCTTCCTTCTAGTATTAAGTGTGGTCACTTGGTGACTGCGCGACTCGCGCCGAAGACAGCTTTAGGCTTAGGCTTAGGCTTAGGCTTAGGCTTAGGCTTAGGCTTAGGCTAAGACTTAGGCTTAGGCTTAGGCTTAGGCTTAGGCTTAGGCTTAGGCTTAGGCTTAGGCTTAGGCTAAGACTTAGGCTTAGGCTTAGGCTTAGGCTTAGGCTTAGGCTTAGGCTTAGGCTTAGTGGCCTATCGATCCTTTTGAATAAGAAAGTTTCTTGCAAGAGGTGTCTAAATCTCTTTTTTCCGTTGTACACCTATTGACAATTGGATTTTTCAAATAAACAACTATAGTAATGATGCCCAAAATGCTTTGTGACATCCAGAATTTCAGCTCCGAAAGCTGGAAAACGATAACGTGCACCGGTTCATCGGTGTCTGTCACGATCACGCACCAATGATGTCAATTTGGAAATTTGCGAGCAGAGGGACATTGGATGTGAGCTAAAAACAAGCTTTAGCTAAAGTAAAGCCATTTTTAGGAAGTCGTTGCAAAAGGTTCAATCAATTTGGACGCTTTCTTTGCCATGTCATTGATCAGAGATTTAGCTGAGGGATTGAACTTTATTCACAAATCTTTTCTAGGATTTCATGGGAATTTATGGTTTGTTATTGTGCTGTGACATCCAAAACGCTAATTTCAGTTCTCAAACTTGTTGGATCGATGAGAGGTGGCAGTTAAAAGTGAGCGGTTTCGGATGCGCTTCGCTGCGGAGAGGGGAGAAGGTCGAAAAGAGAAGTATTTCTAAAGAAAAGCTGATAGATTTGAAAACTAGGAATGTTATGGCATGCACCAGAGCTTCTCCGATCTCCGGGAAGCGCAGGATCGAAAGAAGCTGATGTCTATGCTTTTGCTATTATTTGTTCTGAGATTGTCACCAGGAAGGGTGTTTTTGATTTGGAGAATCGAAATGAAAAGATTGAAGGTCTGGGGAATTTAGTTTAAAGAAAAGAAAAGGTATCTAGAATTGCTCTACATGATCAAGAGAGGCTCGTCGATTCCAATGAGACCAAATCTGAATGTACCCGAGGAAATGGAATTGAACCCGGCTGTGGTTAGTGAATTAAAGAGATTCACAAGGGAAAGTCAAATGGATTTCCAATGGATTTATATAAGCCATTCAACGCAGAATTTCACGCTGATTCCGAATCTGTTTTCGGTTTTTGCCAAACGACATTCTGTCAAAAGTTATACTCCTTTAAAGTTCTGTTAGGAGTTTTAAAAACGACGACATTAGAACCCTGTCTTTCGCGACCCAGCGTTGGCGTTGGCTGTTGAAGCGTTGGCTGTTGAAGCGTTGGCTGTTGAAGCGTTGGCTGTTGAAGCGTTGGCTGTTGAAGCGTTGGCTGTTGAAGCGTTGGCTGTTGAAGCGTTGGCTGTTGAAGCGTTGGCTGTTGAAGCGTTGGCTGTTGAAGCGTTGGCCGAGTGGTAGTGAGTTAGAACGCAAGGGAAAGCCTCTCTAGTACTCCTGTAGCTGTTTGTCAGTTTTCTATAATCTCTTGTGTGTTCTCTATCGCCACACACAATCGTAAAGCATCTGGCACACGACTAAAAGGAAAAAAGAGCTTGGCCTGTCAAACTCTTCATCAAACCACGACAACCTTTTATCAGTCCAAGACAAAGCAGCTACCAGACTCGAACCAGAGATCCCCCGCCTTGCATCCCAACTCACTACCACTCAGCCACTGCTGCAACTGATCGCGTGCCGAAAGACAGGGTTGTAATGTCGCGGTTTTTCAAACTCTTAACAAAACTTTAAACGCATAGAACTTTTGACACAGTGCTCCTTAGCAAATACGGAAAACAGATTCGGAATCAGCGTGAAATTCTGCGCTTAGCTAGCAAATCCAGTTGCCTTTCCCTTGTCAGCAACTTTACAATTTCTTTCATCTCCTTTCAGCTTCATATGATCCGCGATTGTTGGTCGGATTCACCAGATGCTCGCCCAACAATCTCCACCATTAAAACAATCATCAAATCGATGGCTCAATCCGATGGAGGACAGCAAAATCTGATGGATCATGTCTTTAATTTGATGGAATCTTATGCAGAGACATTGGAAAAAGAGGTACGGTGGAATGGATGAGATTTTGAATTGATTGAATTGATTGAATTGATTGAATTGATTGAATTGATTGAATTGATTGAATGGATTGAATTCATTGAATTCATTGAATTGGTTGAATTGATTCAATTTGAATTCCAGGTACAAGATCGAATGACAGAATTGGTGGAAGAGAAAAAGAAGAGTGATCTGTTGCTGTATCGGATGTTGCCAAAGTAAAAGCTGGATATCACAACGAGTTTTGAAACGATTTTTAGGCAAGTAGCTGATCGGTTAAAGCTTGGCCAATCAGTAGAGCCTGAATCCTTTGACAGTGTCACGATTTTCTTCTCCGACGTCGTTCAATTCACGAACTTGGCTGCAAAATGCTCTCCGTTACAGGTAAATTCCGGTTCTTGTTGTTTTAAACCTTTTAAAAAGCCTGGCAAAAAGTGAGCTCTGGCTGGCGGGCTGGCGTTTGCTTAACTGCAATTGTCTAGGACTAAATCTGGCCACCAAAGGCCAGTGCTTGGATCTAGGCTTGCTGGCTTGCGGCTTAGCGGCTCTAGACTTGCTTTGGCTAACCTGGCTTAGCTGTAACATCCTGTAGTTCAGTACAGTAAGCCTAGAGTCTTGTGAGATCCTGGGCTGCCTGGCTTACCTGAGCCAGAGCTTCATCTGGCTGCAGACCTGCCCTGATCTTTCATACCAATCTTAGAACTTGATTTACACATTCCCACTTCATAGTAACGCAAAACTGGTCACAGAACACTGGGCTTGAGCATGGGCTTGAGCAGCCTAAAGCCGGTATTTGGGTAGATCTAGGCTTTGGACTTGGCTGGCTTGATCTAGGCTTTGGACTTGGACTTGGCTGGCTAGATCTAGGCTTTGGACTTGGCTGGCTTGATCTAGGCTTTAGACTTGGCTGGCTTGATCTAGCCTTATCCTGGCCCTGGCCTGGTTTACAGACAGCTTACAGACTTTACAGACTTCACAGACTGTTTACAGACTTTACAGACTTTAAAGACTGTTTAAAGACTGTTTCCAGACTGTTTCCTGGCTTCTCTAAACCGGGTAACACGTAAAGTCAAGCCAGATCTACACTAAACGAAAATGGAACAGAACCCACGCAATAACCGTGTTCCAGATCGTGAACCTCCTCAACGATCTCTACACGATATTCGATCAAATCATCGAGCAACACTCCATCTACAAAGTAATTTCCGGAAAGATTTCAATTTCCCATTTTTCAATTAGTCCTTTCCACTGAGTTTTCGAAAATTTAATCTGTCTCAAGGCTTTTTTTAAGGTTTCAAATGCAGTGAAGCCTGTAAACTTTGGAAAAAAACGAAAATATTTATCTTTAGAGATTTTCTCGAAATTACTAAAATAATAAAAGTGCAATTCGAACAAAATATTCTTAGGTGGAAACAATCGGTGATGGATATCTTTGCGTATCCGATATCCGTATATTACTATAGACTGGCCCATAAAATGTTCATGAACGGGCTCTGACATAGGAATCGGGCCAGCTTTTGTGTCGGATCGGGTCACCGAGTATGAAAGTTGATCAGAGCAAGTTGATCAAATCAAGCTGATCTTTAGGTGGAAACGATTGGTGATGGATATCTTTGCGTTTCTGGTCTTCCCTATCGAAATGGAATCCAACACGTGAAAGAGATCGCTGAAATGTCACTGGATTTCTTGAGAGCTGTACAGGTAGGGTAACCTGAAATTTCAGGACTGTTTGAATAGAGTCCCATCCCTTTAATTCTTCCAAAATGGCTCTATTTCTATCGGAATTCAAACGTTAAAGGATGCTTGTATTGAGAAATAAGTAAACGATCTTCAAGAGAACTTTAAATCTTGTCATTCTTGTGAAGAAACGGAGGAAAATGAGGGAAACGATGGTCTGATGCTTCAATTCATCTCACCAATTGTTATTCTTGCATATTTTAGTTCAATGACTTTTGTTTCAGTGTTATTACTAGGCTGAGGAAAAATAGTTTACCCCCACTTATCCAAAAATCCTTAGAATTTCACCTATTCATGACGGCTTCGGTAGTGGCAATGAGGAAGTCCCTCTTTGATTGATCAGTAGGCAAACAAACAGAGATACTAAAACTAGAAACTAAAAAAAGCCTCACTAAGCTGCCAAAAAATTCAATTTTTATACGCACTTTAATAACAAAAATAGCAAGAATGTCCTTAAAGTATAACCCATGATTATCTACGACTTTCTGCCATCGATCTGCAAGCTTTCGGATCTCGTCGATCTTCTTCAACATTCTTCAAATATTTCCTTTACCAATAGCTGATCAAAACTCGAAGATCTTTTTCTTGCAAACTCATCTGGAATAAGAATTTCTTTAATTTATAACCCATGATTATCTACGACTTTCTGCCATCGATCTGCAAGCTTTCGGATCTGGTCGGATTTCGGATCCTGGATCGGAGCCAAATCTGGTCGATCTTCTTCAACATTCTTCAAATTTTTCCTTTTCCAATAGCTGATCAAAACTCGAAGATCTTTTTCTTGAAAGATCTTTCTTTTTCTTCAAGAAAATTTCAAATCTTGTCATTTTTGTGAAGAAACGGAGGAAAATGAGGGAAACGATGGTTTGATTCATTCCGAGAAGTAAAGAGTAAAGAAGAAACGGAAGAATTTGAGGGAAACGGTGTGATGGAGATATTCTGGCTAAAGGTCCAACATTGGGCCATTGAAATTTCTGGACTGCTTGATTTTTTAGATCTTTCGGATTCCGCATCTTCCATCGGAAAAGATAAACCTTCGAATTGGAATGCATTCTGGCTCTTGTGTATCTGGAGTTGTCGGATTGGCGATGCCAAGGTAGCTACCGTAATCTCAAAGATCAAAGATCAAAGCTCAAAGCTCACAAAGATTAAAGCTACCGTAATCTCTCAAAACAAAAGCTAAAGCAAAGCTTTTCGATAAAAATACCGTAATCTAAGTAAGAAAGAACTACCGTAACCTTTTAAATTATCATTTTCAGATATTGTCTTTTTGGTGACACTGTGAACACTGCATCAAGAATGGAAAGCAATGGAAAACGTAAAATTAAAATCCAAAATTTCAAACCAAAACTTATTCTAGCTGGCCGAATTCACATGTCTTTTGATGCTGTGGATCTCTTGAATAGAATTGGTGGCTATGAAGTCGAACCGAGAGGAGAAGTGATCATCAAGGTGGAAAATGTTTAGGACTGGATGAATTTCTTGATCTTCTGTAAGAATTGCTAGGTTTTTTTGAAGTTCACCGGTTAAACTGGGTCTCACAACAGCTTTTCCCCAAAAAAATTCAGAACTAAGAGGAGAAGTGATCATCATGATAGAAAAGTTTAGGACTGGATGAATTTCTTGATACTCTGAAAGGCTTTTTTAAGTTTTATGAAATGCTTTAGCCAAACTGGATCTCACAACAGCTTTTCATCGAAAAAGTTTCAGGGAAAGGGCGTGATGGAGACATTCTGGCTGAACGGGAGAAGCGAGATTGGTGGAATGACGAGTATCGTTTCAAGGGCTGTCCCTCCACCCCCACCGGCGTTGAGTGATGATCGAGTGTTTCATAATCAACGTAGGAAGCTATTCTGTCGTTTAATTACGCAAAAAGCCTCGTTTAGACACGGCCACTCGTGAATCGACGCCAACAATGCAAAATGAAACGAGGCTCCCGTCAGCTGGATCGCCCGGTCCAGCATTACCAAATTATGATGAAGCCAAGGGAATGTACAGACAACAAATCAATTGGCAATAACTTTATTTCAACGACAAATTTCTATACACCGATTTTGTGAGAATAAACTTTTATTAAAGACGAAAAGAAAAGGCAAATCATTGATCAAAGTCAGCTAGATTGCCCGTCAGCTAGATCGCCTGTCAGCTGGATTGCCCGTCAGCTAGATCGTCAGCTAGATCGTCAGCTAGATCGTCAGCTGGATCACCCGTCAGCTGGATCACCCGTCAGCTGGATCGCCCGTCAGCTGGATCGCCCGGCCCAGGATTACCAAATTTTGACTTTTGACTTTTGTTTCAGTATTAGGTTAAGGAAAAAGTCGTCCGTCTTTCCTGTAATTGAATCTGATCCCTCTAATAGAGTCACACCCTTTTAATCCTTCCAAAATGGCTCTATTTCTACGCACCAGCCTATTGTCAGACTCAGCTGGATTAGAGAAAGTTTGGTTAAGTTTTGCGTCCAATATTAAGCTGACTGTTAGCCCTGAATTGTAGTATCATTATTTTGCTGATACTTCTATTTGAATCAAAATCTGGCCTCATTTTAGCTGACTTACTAGGCTGGTTGTAAAATTGTTAATGAAAATAGATCTACCGTATTTCCTGTAATTGAATCTGATCCCTCTAATAGAGTCACATCCCTTTAATCCTTCCAAAATGGCTCTAGGGGAAATCATTGATCGAAAGCCACACTCTGACTGACTTCCGTAAAACTTTTGAAGCCTTTTAATCACCCGAATCTCTCTAAACCTTTTCTACTTTCTTCTACCTGACTTACAGCGGAAAGGACAAACATTTAGAATTAGAATATCTCAAAAGAAAGCGACTCAATGATCACTCTGACTGACAATGATCACTCTGACTGACACTCTGACTGACTTCAATAAACCTTTTGAACCCTTTTAATCACTCAAATCTCTCTAAATCTTTTCTACTTTCTTTTACTTGACTTACAACGTAAAGGACAGACATTTATTAGGTGTGTGAAAAAGTAATCGACGTTTTTTATTTTTATTTTGTTTAAATAAATATATCTAAACAATTTTTAATTTTTTTGTTAACGTTTAAAAACGTTTTGTTTTGTTTTGTTTTGTTAACGTTTTGATATCGTTTAAAAGCTTATTTTTTTCCTCTTTCGAATGATATATTCATTTTGTTGAAAGGACGACAATAAACTACTTTGATTTTAGTTTGAAAATGTTATACACAAGTATCGTTATTCGGTCAAATTTGCTTTATGAGTTCAAAAATGGGTTGAAAGCTGCGGAGGCTGCACGTCGAATTCGGAATGCGTTTGGCGAAGACGCCGTTATTGATGATACCGCTAGGGTTTGGTTCCGACGATTCAAAGGTGGTAATGAAAGCCTAGACGATGAGCCACGTGGCGGTCGCCCTGAGACCTGTTCGGATGACTAAATAAGACGCTGTCTTCTCGAAAACCCTCGTTCAATCCCTTCAGAAATAGGCCTTACATTAAATTGTGATGGGTCAACCGTAAGGAAACGCTTGAATGCCATGAATTTTATCAAAAAGTTGGACAAATGGATACCGCATAAACGTTAAAAACGTGGATTACTTTTTCACACACCTAATAGAATAAGAATATCTCAAAAGAAAACGACTAAATGATCATCACTTCAAACCTTTCAAGACGCCAAAAAATCAAAAACAAAAGTATAAAGGTTCACTTTTTTTCTCTCAAAAATTTGGCTGAATGTTTTCGAATTCCATTTGAGTCTAAGATCTCAGTGATCATAAAGATTAAGGCTTCGATTTCAGAGAAAAAAAAAAGAATTTTGACACAACGACAACAACCACATTTCCGAAGCCAACCCAGCTACAGAAGCTGATGAAATTTTCTTTGAATCTTGAAATTTCCTTTGAAAATCCTTTCAACTCCTTGATTTTCCCATTAAAAAAACGACTTTTTCCCTTAAAATTAGAGTCTCTCATTTTGTGCCAATCGTTGGTACAAAATGTTCAATTTTTGTACCAATCGATTTATAATAATAAAATTCTTTCAATCTCATCTTCTTTTTATATCATTTATATAGAAGAAAAAAGATTTTCTTAATTTCATTCGATTCCCCAAATCTTTCTCTCTCGATTAGTACAAAAACTATCCAAATTGGACAGCCCAACACTGAGATATTTGAGCTTGAAGTTAGATTGCTAATGGCAAAGGGGGCGGAGTCCTTTGACAAGCCGTGTTGGGCTGAAATGAAGAAAAGTCACATGCAAACATCATGAAATCGAATGTAGAACTCGTTTTTTAAAAGTTTAGCAAAAACTAACGTAATCTTTTCTTCAGAGATTCTCCATTCTACTTAGTTTTGATCCCATTCGACTCAGGATTTGATTTCGTATCGAATGAGATCAAAATCTGACCTCTTTATCATTGGCAATCCAACTTTGAGCTCAAATTTCTTGCTGTTCGGCTGTTCAATTGAAATATGCTTAATATCATTGGATTCCCCAAATCTTTCTCTCTCGATTGGTACAAAAACTATTTCAATTGGACAACCCAACACTGAGATATTTGAGCTCAAAGTTGGATTGCCCGGCAAAAGGCTCGATGACTCCGCCCCTTTGCCATTGACAATCCAGCTTTCAGCTCAAATATCTCAGTGTTGGGCTGTCCAATTGAAATAGTTTTGGTACCAATCGATAGAGAAAGATTTGGGAAATCCAATGATACCAAAAAAATTGAAATTGAAGAGCCCAACACCAAGATATCTGGGCTCAAAGTTGGATCAAAGAGAAGGGGCGCTTATCAAATGATCGATAACGAAACTTTTCTTTCTTTCAACTTTCAAATACAGTAATCCATTGAGCTTACATTCTAGTGTAATATATCAAAACAAATCCTTTGTCATTTAAGCTCAAACTCAAGCTCTAGCTCAAGCTCAAGCTCTAGCTCTAGCTCTAGCTCTAGCTCTAGCTCTAGCTCTAGCTCTAGCTCTGGCTCAAGCTCTAGCTCTGGCTCAAGCTCAGGCTCAAGCTCAAGCTCTTGCTCAAGCTCAAGCTCTAGCTCAAGTCTTCTTTCATACTTTTGTTCTTGATGTTCAACTTTGAATCAGAAATTTTTCAAATTTTTCATTAATTTGTTTCTGTTTTTCTCACAATTCACACATCAATTTTTCTAAATGAAAAGTTCATTTAATTTTTCGAATTTCATGAAATTAGTTTGTTTTATGGTTTCCACCTACTTTAAACCTTTTTAGAGAAAGCCTGGCGAAAAGTGAGCTCTGGCTGGCGGGCTGGCGTTTGCTTAACTGCAATTGTCTAGGACTAAATCTGGCCACCAAAAGCCAGTGCTTGGATCTAGGCTTGCTGGACTATGGGCTTGCGGCTTAGCGGCTCTAGACTTGCTTTGGCTAACCTGGCTTAGCTGCAACATCCTGTAGTTCAGTACAGTAAGCCTAGAGTCTTGTGAGATCCTGGGCTGCCTGGCTTGGATCTAGGCTTGCTGGACTATGTGCAAAATTAATTTGTTTCTGTTTTTCTCACCATCCATACATCAATTTCTCTTTATCAAAAGTTCATTTAATTTTTTCGAATTTCATGAAATTAGTTTGTTTTATGGTTTCCACCTACTTTCTTCCCTTTTCTCTTTCTTCCCTTTTCTCTTTCTTCTCTTTTCTCAAAAACTTTTCATTTCTTTATCGCCCATCTTGTACAACTTTCAGAATGAATTTCTTTATTTTCTATGCAAATCTTTTCTTCTTCAACCCGATTGATGCGCAAATTGCTGAGCTATTGAGTGGATCGACGGTTACGGTAATCGAGTATCGTAGTTTTTAAAGTTGACCTCAATTTCTAGCCTCCACCTTGGTCGGAAAGCAACTCAACACTCAGAAATGTCACTTTTAAAGTGGGAATGATCGGTGAGTGGAAATAAAGCTAAAATGTAGAATGATATCCAGAATGAATATCGGAATAATAAAGTCGCGATTTTTGTTTCTTTTAAAAACCATATTTCAGTCACCGAAGTTCTCCAGCCGCAAATCGGTTTCTCAACGACTGGCGGAGTGATCACGTTGGCTTTACAGCAAATCAGAAAACTCCATCTACTCGATGCGATCGATTTTGAGTATTTTGGAGATTGAGGAGCATTTTAAATGTTGACTTTTAGATTTGTCGTCAATTACACCGATTGCACTGAGTCAAATGCGGCTGGGATTGCGGTCGATTTGATGAAAGATTTGAATGTCGATGTCATCATTGGTCCGCCTTGTAGAAATGGTAAATATTAAGTCATCAAAGTCATCAAAACTTTGACAAGTCGCGCTCCTTTTCCCAGGCAATCCAGCTTTCAGCTCAAATATCTCAGTGTTGGGCTGGGCTGAAAGTTAAGTCAAATTTTGCACTTTTCTTTTATTTTAGGGTTGAAATGAAACCAGCATGTATTTTCAAAAATATAGTTTACAAGCCAGCATGTTGTAAATGTCATGCGACCAGGCTTTCATGCGTCCAGGCTTTCATGCGCCAAGGCTTTCAAGTTTCAAGGCTTTCAAGCGTCCAGGCTTTCATACCTCCAGGCTTTCATGCGCCAAGGCTTTCATACGCCAAGGCTTTCATACGCCAAGGCTTTCATGCGCCAAGGCTTTCAAGCTTCAAAGCTTTCAAGCGTCCAGGCTTTCATACCTCCAGGCTTTCATGCGCCAAGGCTTTCGAAATGTTCATTCGTTTTTTGCGTTCATGTTTAGTAACTTTTCGCTTATTGAAAAGATCTTCTCGCACATTCTTTGCCTTCAAAAGAATTCTCAGCATTTGCCGAAAACCTGATTCAAAAATGGATAAAAATAACTCGATGAACAACTGCAAAACCTTGTTAAAGCAGTAAACTCTATTTATTATTTACTTTTTAACATCCAAGTCCCCATTCATCAATCCAATTCAAAATCTTTATATACTATTGTAGAGGAGAGTCAGTGCTTTCTAATAGTATACAACATTTATTGGCTAAAGCTTGCAATCTTTCTAATTTTCAGAAAGATATTTGAACGCATTGCCACTAACCTAATAGAACAGACAATTCTTGCCAGCAGGCGCAGAGACCCAGATCGAGGCTCGATCTGCGGTTACTTTTTAACATCCAAGTCTCCAATCATCGCGGCCGGGTGACGATAAAAATTTTTTTACGGCAACCACCTGTTTTTTTATTTTAATATCGCTCATTTAATGATAAAAAGAATAAAAATCACCCGGCTAGAGTGATTTGATGGGTTTACAAATTTTTGGAGACACTGCAAGGCTTTGAGAAAACACAGCGCGTCACCACCAGACACCCCAGCACGTCTATCGATTGAATTTTAATTGCAGATAAATTTAAAAAAAAAAAAAAAACAAAAAAAAAAAAAAAAAATTGTTAAAATATAATTCTAAATCTTTATATACTATTGTAGAAGAGATTCAGAGCTTTCTAAGAGTATACAACACTTATTAGCTTGGACTTGCAATCTTTTTATTTTCAGAAAGATATATGAGCGCTCATTTCATTCCGATCACCTTAATACATTTAAAAAGTTAAGTAATCCCAGCAGAAAAGCTCGCCTAACGGTCGGCTGCTTTAGAAATTGTAAAAAGATTGCCAGAAACGAATTCCCTGTATTGGAAAACCCCACCATACAAATTGCACCCATGGCGCAGCGGATAGCGCCCTCGCCTCACACCACCCGGGTTCGACCCCCGCCAGTGATTACCTACTTTGATTTTTTGCAAAAATTTATGTAAAAGGCAGAACTATATGAAATTTAATTAGATACGTGTTTCAGCGTTTTTTTTTTAAATACTCAAAGGGAACGCTCGCGTAGTGCGCGCACAGACGGGCTCGATCTGCGGTTACTTTTTAACATCTAAATCCCCAATCATCAATCCAATTCTGAATCTTTATTTACTATTTTGTAGAGGAGATTCAGAGCTTTCTAATTTCTAACAACATTTATTGGCTAAAGCTTGTAATCTTTCTAATTTTCAAAAAGATATTTGAACGCTCATTTCATTCCTATTACCATCATCACTTCACTACTAAGAAAAATAAGTTATTTGTGCACTGGCATTTCTTATAGCTTAACAGATGTTACCGTACGCGGGAATACTGTATAAATTCGGTACTGTCTCCTACAGTAAGACTCATGGGACTTTATGATTAATGGGGAGGCCAAGCGAGCGAGATGAGCCCAATTTTTCCTCATTTTGCAGCTCATTTTTAAGCACCTTAAACTTGTCGAATCAGGAAGTTTTAATAAGATTTAGATAGCTTAGAACGTCAAATTTCAGAAACTATTTATTTCATCAAAAGTGATGAACAAAAACCTATCTGAAATTGAGCTGGAAATTGGCCAAAAACTCGGCGCTTCCGATAAGCTCCGCTAACCGTAAAGCACCGATAAATCTTCTAAATCTAAAACTATAGAATAAATTAAATGCATAGTATCTATAAAATTTATAGTATAGATGTCTAATCTTTGAAAGTCGGCGCTCGACGCTTCCGATAAGCGCTCGACGCTTCCGATAAGCGCTCGACGCTTCCGATAAGCGCTCGGCACTTCCGATAAGCGCTCGTCCCGATAAGCGCTCGTCCTGATAAGCGCTCATCCCGATAAGCGCTCGTCCCAATAAGCGCTCGTCCCAATAAGCGCTCGTCCCGATAAGCGCTCGTCCTGATAAGCGCTCATCCCGATAAGCGCTCGTCCCAATAAGCGCTTAAGCCTGAAGCCCCAGACTCATTACCCATTATCTACAGTATTTATCCTATCTTACTATCTACAGTAAGACTCATTGTTGTTGTGGAAAAGAGCAAAACCTCAAATTTAGCCATCATTCCAACGGGGATTTTGAGCGGATACTACGAGACACTCCAGGTATTCCTTTTTTTCATTTTTGGTTTCTTATCGAGGGATTTCCGTCTATTTTTGGCTATTTTTGGCTAATTTTGGCTATTTCTCGCTAATTTTGGTCAATTTAGGTAGCATGGGGCTACGCATCGGCCGCAACTCTATCCGATAACACCCGTTTCCCATATTTGTCTGTCATTTCAGCCAATTATAGACAGTAAGTGGCTCAAGTTGGATATCACTGCACTTCTTAAACACAAAAAAATTGCCTTCTTCTGTGAAAGTGAAAGCGAGTGATGAGTGATTTCGATTTCAGACTTGGCTACGCTTTCGCCGCCCTCAACGAACTCTACGATTGGTAGAGTCGTCAATCTGGAACACACACTGAACAATGAGCTAATTTTAGGGACGTTGTCGGACTCTTCTATGCCGACGATGGGTATGGAGCTTGCATCGATATGATGGGTGATGTCTCCGTACGTGAATTTAAAATTTTTTTTTGAGAAACCTCTGCTGTGACATCCAATTTGATCATTGAAATATAAAAAAATCGAAGTTTAATTCCTCTAGGACGCTCTGGCCGACCCATCCACATATCAATCGACCATCTCCACTTCGCAACGAGTCAATGCTGGCAGTGCTCGTTCAGCGATCGTCACAGCTCTACAGAAAATGAAATCCAGAGCGAGAAGTGAATAAAGAGCACTTTTTTTACGGCTTCAGAGTTTAATCTGTTCATCAAATGTTCAAATTGAATCCCTTAAACAATAGTTTTTTAGTTTTTGGTGTTTGTTTACCGGATGATGCGACGAAACGCGATTTCTTAATCGCCACGGCGGAAGCTGGCATGAATAGGTACAGTAAGATTAGTACTATAGTGTACTGTACTGAAAAACCTTTGTGCACAAATGAATGTATACTGTAAGATGGGTACTGTAATGTACTCTAGCTTGTTACCCCAACAATCTGTTGCCCAAATTCAGCTCCGAGTACGTGTACGTCCTTCTCGACGATCGTGGCTTCGGCTTCGGCCAATTGGGCGTCTCCTCCACGGCACCAAAACGTAACTTTTGAGAGCAGTGATGAAGATCTTTCAAATTTCAGTTGAAGACAGCGGACTGACACCGATGTGGATTGATACGGTCAATGGGAATGCTGATGGCATGGATTCTGTGGCACAACAGGCTGCAACGAGAGTGCTCGTGGTTGGTAACTTTCTAAAGTTATATATTCTGTCTCTCAGAAGATTCAAAGCTCAAGTGCATTCCAGAATAGCCAAAAATTCCATTATCGTTCGTATTTCTGGCTAGTAAAGCTCAAATGCATTCCAGAATAGTCAAAAAGCCCATTATTGATCGTACTAATAATTAGTAAAGCTCAAATGCATTCCAGAATAGCTAAAAATTCCATTATCGCTCGTATTTCTGGCTAGTAAAGCTTAAATGCCTTCCAGAATACTCAAAAAGCCATTATCGATCGTACTAGTGATTATGACGCTTTCATGTATTATGCGGTAAGTTTGAAAGCATTGTAAAGCTTAGAAATCATAGTAAAGCTCAATTGCCTTCCAGAATAGCTAAAATTACTACTTTTAGATCGACTTGCGAAACGATGGCACGATCGACAACGAAACTTCTGTCGAATTGGCGCCCACAGTAGTGTGAAACCTCAAAAAATGACCGTCATTATGCTTTCAGGTGTTGGAAGACGTGAAAAGTTATCCATTCTATTGTACAACTGGCGATTGTCTTGAGAATGAGCAAAGATATACAGCGGTTTGCGAATTTTCGAGTTATAGTAACGAATGGCTTTTATAGATTGGCTCATTCGGGCAACAACTCTATGACGCTTTCATGTATTATGCGGTAAGTTTGAAAGCATTGTAAAGCTTAGAAATCATTGTAAAGCTTAGAAATCATTGTAAAGCTAATTGTTCCAGTATTGCTTAAACGCTTCGATCACATTAGATCCGCAAAATGGACTCAACAATAAAACAGTGTTTCGTCAAGTCCGAACAAGTGTTGAATTCCCTGGTGAGCTCCAGATCGCAATTTTTTAAGCTCAAATTTTCTCAGGCTGGTCTGGATCAATTGCAATGACTCCAAATGCTACTCGAGTTCCGTATTTCTATGTAAGTTTATTGTTTTAGCTTGTTAGCTTGATAGCTTCATAGCTTCATAGCTTGATAGCTTGATAGCTTGATAGTTTGATAGCTTCATAGCTTCATAGCTTCATAGCTTCATAGCTTCATAGCTTGATAACTTCATAGCTTCATAGCTTCATAGCTTCATAGCTTCATAGCTTGATAGCTTGATAGCTTCATAGCTTCATAGCTTCATAGCTTGATAGCTTCATAGCTTCATAGCTTCATAGCTTGATAGCTTCATAGCTTCATAGCTTCATAGCTTTCTTTGAAATCGTTTGAAATCGAATTTTCTAGGCTTACGGTGTTTCAAGTGTCGGGAAAGTGCAGCGATTGGTGAATCTGAGTTGGGCCGGTTTTGGGGACTATATTGTATGTGCAAATCTTCAAAACTCTAACTCTAAACCCCTAAAATTAGGAAGCGAAAATCAACTACGAGAACGCGGCTGCGACAATTTGGATAAACCGTGGAGGTGTGCAACCGCTAGCCACACCAATTTGCGGGTAACCCTCTCTTCTTCAGCTCTTCAACTTCAAAAGCCCCAACTTTCCAGTTTCTCCGGCAACAGTTGCCCGATGACCACCTGGCAACAAAGCGGCGTCTACATTGTGGCTGGCGCTGGAATCGCTCTCTTGCTCTTCATTTGCTTTTTTATCTTCATTATTTATGTGATTCGGTAAAATGAAGAGAAACTTTAAGGAATTCAAAAAAATTTAGGGAAAAGCGTAAAGAGAAAAGAAGACAAGATTCCGAGTGGCAAATCCCGTACTATACGCTAGAAAGATCTGCCTCCAGTCGGGTGAGGCTTACTGTTTTTTTTTTCCAAAAAACCAAAGCTGACTCCAGATCGAAGAGAAGAGCCATCACTCATTAGCATCATCGAAATCGTCTCACTCGAAATTCTCGGTGAACAGCAAGGCTGAAACAGCAACTGCCGCCTATTTCGTGCTGTGGGGTGAGAAATTGGCTTCAGATTGATGTACTATACCGTTTACAAGCTCTATTACTGTCAATACTATTTCTATAACTTTTCATAGTATTGTAGTTCGAATCCTGAAATCGTGCTCCAATCATTGGACAATAAAATTTGCTTATTAGGCCATCCCAAGGTTGACGAGAGTTTTCCAATATTTGAGAAGATTAAGCCTAAGTGAAACTAGAGTTGATTTCGGCTGGCACAGAATTAATACTGCTTTGACCATAGCTCTGACCATAGCTCTGACCATAGCTCTGACCATAGCTCTGACCATAGCTCTGACTATAGCTTCGATCATAGCTCTGACCATAGCTTCGACCATAGCTCTGACCATAGCTCCGATCATAGCTTCGACCATAGCTCTGACCATAGCTCTGACCATAGCTCTGACCATAGCTCTGACCATAGCTCTGACCATAGCTCTGACCATAGCTCTGACCATAGCTCTGACCATAGCTTCGATCATAGCTTCGACCATAGCTCTGACCATAGCTCTGACCATAGCTCTGACCATAGCTCTGACCATAGCTCTGACCATAGCTTCGATCATAGCTCATTTTCCAGTTTCCTGGTTTCCTGGTTTCACTTACTGTGAAATATCTTTAGCACAAGTTTCAAATGACTGTTACACAAAAATTACATCTATTTCCTAGTTTCACTTACTGTGAATAGACTGAGTGAACAATTTTGAGGTGAAATTTTCTTTGATTCTTTGATAATCCTTAGAACCCGCTCAATCCTCAATCCTCAAACAGCTCAATCCTCAATCCCAAAACAGCTCAATCCTCAATCCCAATCCTAAAACTGCGTAAAGACATCATTATAAACAGAACCTTTAGCCAGCCATCAAAATCAGAAACCATTCTGTTAGCACAATTTTCATTGATCCCGATTTTCTTTTGATTTTCAGGTGAACCCGTTTACGCGTACAAATACAAATCGCTCACCAAACTTGGACCGAAAGATTTTGATGAGTTCAGACTGGTAGGAATCACATATACCTCAAAATTCACTTTCCTAAATTTGAGATGCGAAAACTAGAGCACGACAATGTGCATCGTTTTATTGGGATTTGTCATGATCACACCCCGATGATGTCCATTTGGAAATTAGCGAGTCGAGGAACCGTTGAGGTAAAATTAACAGCAATTGCATTTGAAATTCGTCTCTAAACCAATCCAGGAAGTAATAGCGAAAGGCTCGATCAATCTGGATGCCTATTTTGCGATCTCTTTACTTCGCGACCTCGCTAATGGTCTCTCATTCATTCACAAGTCGTTTCTCGGTTTTCACGGAAACTTGAGGTTTAAAAAACTTTGCTTAACCATTCATCTGGAAGTCATTTCAGCTCGTCGACTTGTTGGATCGATGATCGTTGGCAGTTGAAAGTTAGCGGCTTTGGGTGCACAGCGCTGAGAGCTGGAGAGAAAGTGCACAAACGGGGTGTGAAATAGATTGAACTATTAATCTAAGAACAATTTTAGAAATGCTATATTATGCTCCAGAATTGCTGCGAGCTCCCACAAAGATTTTCACGAAAGAAGCCGACATTTACGCTTTCGGCATCATATGCTCGGAGATCGTGACTAGGAAATCCGTTTACGATTTGGAGAATCGAAATGAAAAAGTTGAAGGTAAGCATAGCATCGAGAATAAAAGCCAAATAATATTCCAGAGATTCTTCACCAAGTCAAAAAGGGTAATCCAACGATTCCGATGCGGCCTCAGCTCATCATTCCTGAGGAAATCGAGCTGCATCCAGCTGCTGTAAGTTAAATGAATACTTTTCCGTTCTTAGAGCCAATTAAATCAATATTTTTCTGTTATTAGAGCCTATTAAATTAATACTTTTCCGATCTTAGAGCCTATTAAATCAATACTTTTCCGTTCTTAGAGCCTATTAAATTAATACTTTTCTGTTCTTAGAGCCTATTGAATCAATACTTTCCCGTTATTAGACCCTATTAAATCAATACTTTTCCTTTATTAGAGCCTATTAAATGAATACTTTTCTGTTATTAAAGCCAATTAAATCAATACTTTTCCGTTATTAGAGCCTATTTATCATCTCTTCCTCATTTCCGTTTTGTGGGCCCAAATCACCAAAATAGAATTTCAACACGAGAAGACTAATCTACAAGCTACAACTTTTAAAATCCGGATTTGAAAGCACCCTCAGAAAATCGAGTGTCTCTGAAAATCGAGCAACAAAAAGCACAATGGTACTGCAAGACACTTCCTTTCAAGCTATTTGACCGAGGTCGTTATGGTGTGACAGAAGAAGTTGGAGATAACCTTATGTACCATTGGATCTCATCGTTTATTTCAAGTGCTTGTCGGCCTCAAATTGTTTAAGCCACCATTAAATGAGGGCTTTGGAAATTGGGTAAATTGAGTCCTCATAACGGAGTGAGGAAGACTCGAAGAATGAGATGAGAAATGAAGGAGAAGAAAAGAAAACGGGAAAGTATCGTGAAATCAAATAATCGACGTTTTCTAGAATCTTGCACTCATATATTTCAGAAATGGTACAGTATACTGAAATCTTTTGAAAAATCATAAGTCCAAACGATTTTTGGCTAAAGATCTACTGTAAAAACTCTAATCGTCACTCGCATAATGATGAGCATAGTCTAACTTTGAGCATCCCATTCTCCGCACTGCTTTAAGCTACAGTATAGGCTTTAATGTTAAACGATAGCCCTTGTAATCTAGTTTTTTTCGATACCAAAAGTCTAGTTGAAAAAAATCTAAGAGCTGAGATTTTCTAAAAAGAAATTAGGCTATGCGAATGGATGTGAAGGCGCTTGGATAGGCGCTTGGACGTTCTATAAAAGTATTTACAGCAGAATTGATTGTAAACATTGAAAAGATCACATCGCACTCGAGATCTCAAAAAATTAATTCTTAAATTATCAATTTCAGAAATACTTCCTTTTTTCAGACTCACATGATTCGAGATTGTTGGTCAGAAGAAGCTGAATCTCGACCAACTATCGGCACCGTTAGAACAATCATTAAATCAATGGTAAAACAAAAAAAAAACAAACAAACCCTCAAATGAAACACTAGAAAAACTTTAGAATCAACAAGATGGAAGTCAACAAAACTTGATGGATCACGTTTTTAATCTCATGGAGAAATATGCAGAGACACTGGAGAAAGAGGTAGAGAAATCATGGACAAGATAATTCGGCCCCAATACGGTTCCAATACGGTTCCTATTTTGATCTAATATGTTTCCAATACGGTTCCAATACGGTTCCAATACGGTTCCAATACGGTTCCAATATGGTTCCAATATGGTTCGGATACGGTTCCAATACGGTTCCAATACGGTTCCTATCTTGATCTAATTTTAGAAACGTTATCGATTTATCGTTAATTTCAGGTCCAAGATCGCATGGTTGAGCTCGTGGAAGAGAAAAAGAAAAGCGATATCTTATTGTATCGAATGTTGCCAAAGTGAATTTTGACGGTATTCAACGATTTAACTTTTAATTTCTAGACAAGTGGCTGATCGACTGAAATTAGGTCAAATGGTTGAGCCGGAATCGTTTGAAAGTGTCACAATTTTCTTCTCCGATGTCGTTCAATTCACGAATTTGGCTGCAAAATGCTCTCCGTTACAAGTAAATTAGCGTACTTTAAAAGCGTACTTTAAAATGATTGTACGATTATAAGTAGACAATTTCGATATTTTACTTTTCGACAGTTTACTTACCGTAAATACTGTAATAGTACCGCACCCCCATAATGACGGTGCGGAGTGTTGCGTAGTCTAGCTTTGAACGCGTTTTTCTCGACACTGGTTTATGCTACAATATCCGCTTCGGTATCAAAAAATAGCTGAAATTCAGGGCTATTTTTTCATACCAAAGACACATTTTTTGAAAGTACGGGCGCTTTAAAAAAAAATGAAAAAATCCTAAAAAACTTTTGCGACTACGCGACTGTACGAGAGGGGGATGGGGTACTATTACAGTATTTACGGTACGGTTTTTCAGATCGTCAACCTCCTCAACGATCTCTACACGACATTTGATCAGATTATTGAGCAACATTCTGTGTATAAGGTAAATTTCAATTTTCCTTTCTCTTAAGCTTTATTCTTCAAATTTTCCCTTTAGGTAGAAACAATCGGTGATGGTTATCTTTGCGTTTCTGGTCTTCCGCATCGAAATGGAATCCAACACGTGAAAGATATCGCTGAAATGTCTCTAGACTTTTTGAGAGCAGTACAAGTATTGAAAACTCAAGTTAATTATTAGAATTCATTGATTTTTTTTTTCTAGGTTCATCGAGTGCCTCATCTTCCATCTGAAAGGATCAATCTTCGAATTGGAATGCATTCTGGCTCTTGTGTGGCTGGAGTGGTCGGTCTAGCCATGCCAAGGTAGATTGGTTTTTTGACTAAAACTTAAAAGTTGAATCCCAAAAAAAGTTACCGTAATCTCAAAGATAATAATTGCAAAAAAATGCTTTTAAAAAAGAGTTACCGGGCGTGGGACAAATGCGACCTTTTTTTGCGCACCTAGACATTTGCGCACCTTTTTTTGCTGGAAAAGGCCTTAGGAAAGGTCGTAGAGCTTCGAAAATATTTCCATATAAGGGAATCGTATGCGTAGATTCCGAATTTCGACAAATCAGCTCTCGCTGACACGTCAAATTTGCGGAAAAGCGTTAAGTTGCGTAGTTTTTGCCTTTTAGCCCAAATTTGACGTGTCAGCGAGGTCTGATTTGTCGAAATTCGGAATCTACGCATACGATTCCCTTATATGGAAATATTTTCGAAGCTCTACGACCTTTCCTAAGGCCTTTTCCAGCAAAAAAAGGTGCGCAAATGTCCAGGTGCGCAAAAAAAAGGTCGCATTTGTCCCACCCCCGAGTTACCATAATTTTCTCAATGCTGTTGTTTCCAGATATTGCTTGTTTGGTGACACGGTGAATACAGCGTCCAGGATGGAAAGCAATGGGAAACGTGAGTTCATTTTCTGAAAAAAAAAAAACTTCAGACAAATTTCAGCTGGTCGAATTCATATGTCTGGTGAATCTGTTTCTTTGTTAACGGCAATCGGTGGGTATGAGATAGAACCGCGAGGAGAAGTCATCATAAAGGTGAGTTCAGCTGCAAAAGGTAGCTATGGTAGCCAAATTCAAAATTTTACTCATCACCTTTTAGGGCAAAGGAGTGATGGAGACATTTTGGCTAAACGGAAAAACGAGCTGCTCCCCGTCGCCGATTCAATCGAATATCGATGACGCACTGCCTGCTTCGAGATTTCGAGCAAGATCCCCTCTAATCACTCCACCGATGCAAGATGAGACTCGTCTACAAACGCCTGATCTTCACGAGATTCCGCCATCATATGAAGACGCGAAATGACGAAATTGTACAAACTATAAATATCCCCCATTTTCTCGTGATTTCATTGCCTTTTCCCATGTCTCGGTCGAGGAGTTTGTTGTCTGAAAAATTTTTTCTTGTCTTTTTGATGGTGTACATAAATTCGTTTTCGGTTTTAGAACCTCGAAATCTTGCCCGCTTTACGATAGCCTAGGCCGAAAGACAATCTTCCTTCCTGTCTAATTTCTTTTATTTCAAAAGTGACACAAAAATATTGAAATATCAAGAGAACTCACAAAAACCCATTCAAATAAAGAAATGTTACAAAATTTCAGAAACCCAGAACCAAAAGTGTAAATCATTGAACTAGAAAATATACAAACGCCGAACAGAAATAAAATTTTTGCACAAAATAAGATGTTTGAGTGGAATCAGCAAAAATGGCATATCACAGTGATGGAAAGGGATAATAACAAAAGTGTAAACGGGGGCAAAAGTTGTCTTTCCTCATCACTCCTTCGCTTTGTTCGACGAGAAAAGGCGTTTCAACAATGATTTGTCCTTTTTCACTTGCATTAATTTGTTCAGCGGATGAGCAGCCAAGTCCGGGGTTTCTTGTGATTCGTGTTGTTGCTCATCTCCCCTCCAGACATCATCCCCTTCATGATTCATACGTTCTAAAAAGAAATTTGAAATCGCTAGTTAGCAATCAACCCACTTCCTAGAGCAAAGTTATCAGTAGATGTTCCGGGAATCACTAAAAGAAAACATTTAAGCTAAATAAAACAAGACCGTCACTTTCTTTTGGTCGCTTAAAGAACATTGTCTTCAAGGATCGTCGATTGGAGCAAACACGCTGATTGGGCATTTGATGAATCTCTAAAAATAAAGAGGAAGATTGAAATTACAGAGTTAAAGTAGCTTATCATCACTAAAAATGGCGTTCAATTAATCAACTTTTGGAAATTCCCGTAAGAACAGCGCAAAAGCCACATACCCGTTCTTCGCCCACGAGTCCCACGCACAAATGCTCCGTTAGGAATGTAACGCGTTGTAGATGGATGAGGTTGCGTGGCTTCTTGTTCTTGAGGCACTTGTTGATCAAATGTGGTTTGTTTTTGTCGCGGAGGTGGCAATTTGTGAGGCGACTCCTTGATTAGTGGCTAAAGTTGAACAAGTCAAATCTTCCAACAATTATTTGTTTGATAGCTAAAACTTTTAACACACCATATTCTCATAAGGTCCGCCGGTGCAAGTTTGTTCGAGCGACACCGAACTCCTCTCAGAATCACTAAAGAACTGTCTAAAATAGGAAGCAATGGCAATAGATAACCGATTCCTCCGTGCTTCCAAGTTTCGTCGACTTTTTCGACCACCCACTTCTCGAGCGCCTACCTAAAAGACAAAATTTCAAATACTCTAGAAATAGCCGAACCCATTGTTCTCCTTGTTGGTCTCGTAGCTCGACGTCATCGTCATAAAGACCATTCGCTTCACATGGGCTCATCGGTGGTGGTTGATTGACGATCCCTGTTGCTGAGACGAAAAGTTGCTGTTGCAGTGCGGCCGCCAGTTGTGTTGTCAGCAACAGTTGTGCCTGTTGCTGATTCGATTCCATGATCTTTCGCGCGTGATGGGAAATTGCAGCCTAAACTACGAATTTAGTCTTTTAAATGATTGCTTATTAAATTTAACAGTTAGTACAGTTACGTACATTTGAAGCACTATAACCGTTCCTTTAACAGCTGGTAACGTCAAAGAATCTACCAACTTCCTTCACAAGTAGATTAGGCACGGCTTCTCCAAGCGATTTATCACATCCAGCTTGTGGGCAAACGCGCTGCCTCTTTCGCCATTCCTCGCTGCACGCCAGACAAAACGTGTGACCACATGGGAAGACCACTGGCTAAATATAAAAACGTTATGATCGAGGAAATATAGAAGTTGAGCTAAACCCTAGTCAACAACATGGCAATAAATCTAATTTTGATCGAATTTACCTAAGAATAAACACTTCAAAGCCCTAAGGGTACAGAACGAACTAAATAGATAAGTTGAGCTTAACCCTAGTCAAAAACCTGGCGATAAACTATTTTTTTGATTGAATTTCCCTAACAAACAATACTTTATAGTCTCAAGAGTACAAAGCAAAATCTCTATTAATAGTCTTTAAAGTTCCAAAAACCAAAAGCTTTCTTACTTCCAAAAAGATCTCCTGGCAAAGACGACAAGTGAGGATGTTCGTTGATGGCATTGCTGCTGCTTGTTGTTGAAGAAACTGTGACGGTAGTAGAATACCTGACGAGAATATTTGTTGATTCACCGAAGCGCCACTCTAAAGTAAAATGTAGTGTAAAACAATGAAAAGATGAAAATCTAATCTTTAGCTTTGGTTTTAGAACTTCAGTAGCCAAATTTAGGCAAGTTTGTATCATTTTAGTGGAGTGCAAGTTAAATTTCGAGAAAATCGGGCAAATTCGACACATTTTCAAGAAACCCTTAGCTTTTCAAGCTCAGATTTTACAAAGTCACATCAAAAACCTACTTGGGATGGAGTAGAGCCCTCGTAGAATGCCGAATCTGACATCCGATCCATCACAAATTGATCTGAAAGTTGAAAAAAGTTATAGAATCCTGAGTTTCAGGCAGAGACAACAAACGGGCATGTGGAAAATGAAAAAGAATGAGAAAAGTTGCGATTTCGAAAGGTTTTATACGCAGAGAAGGAGCAAGTTTTAGAAGGAACAGTTGGGGATTTAGTGCATTTTAGAATTTATTGCCTTAACAGGCTTTGCTGTTCAGGCTTTGTTGTTCATCGAGTTGTTGTTATCCATTTTTAATCGACTTTGCTTATTTTAGTTGATATTTATATGAGAATTAGTGGGCAGGTACCTTTTAGTGCAAAATCGAGACTATAATGGGTTTATAGACCTTAAAAATCCGACAATTTTAGCCACTGTAGCAATTTTTTTACCGTTTTGCCTATTTTTAAGCTGCACTTTAAGAAGTTATGGTTTTTATTTTGGAAACCATACAACAGAGAACTAATGACGATGATGAAAGACTCGTATTATTAGTGGGATTTGAAGAAATGTGTCGCTTTTACTGAGGTTTCGCTGTGAGATTCCCGTTTCGCTTTGTTCAATAACTGATGGCACCGCGTTCGAGCCGAAATTTACATAATTGAATTGTTTTCACGGCAAACTATCGTAATACGGTAACATATCTTTCTTGAGCCTCTCACCTGAATCATCGATCCTTCTTGCAGATCCTGTGGCCGATTCATTGGCCCGAACATCATCACATTCCATCGCGGAGCTCCCGATTGGAAACGAGAGCTGCGATACGATTTTCGATCGAATCTTCGCGGCGGTGGTGGTGTGGGCAAGTTTTCATCGATTTGATTATTCATCCTGGATGGCATTGGTCTCATTGGTGAATCGTTTGGTCTCATTTTTGGCAAGGTAACATATCTTTCTCGAGCCTCTCACCTGAATCATCGATCCTTGACTTTAGACCCCCTTGTGTGAGTTCTATGGATAGATCTAGACCTAAAATCTACTAATATTTTATCGGCAGTAAAATTTCAAACTCTATTTTTGAAAAAATAGAAAAAAATATATCGGGCCCTCACATGGATTTTTTTGGACTTTCAAAGGGGGTCGTGGGTAAGAAAATAATTTCACTTTTAAAGGTACGTTCTGGACAAAGGGCCATCGTTTAAAATAGTTTTTAACGAATTCTAAACTTTTGATTCATGTGTTCCCCCTTACCTACTTTTTGGATTAGTTGAAAAATAAGATGTTTGAGGGGTTGAAAAATAAAATGGCATGTCATTCTGAGACAACATTTACGGTATTCGATTTTCTCGGGATTCGTCGTTCCAATTCAATTCTTTTTGGTGTCATTTGAAAGCCTGAACTGTTTTCGATTAAAATAAGTAATGTGAATGTTATTTCTAAAGAAAGTTTTGAAACTTTCAAGCTTGATTGTCTATTCAAAAGGCACCTAAACCTGAGCTGAAACTACAAAATAGCCATTCAGTCGGAAATGGTTGATGTACATCTTCCTGTATTCCACTTCATTGCAAGGATTCGTGATCATCGCGATTGCCGTTTGGGTGAACGGTTTTGAGGAAATTCGTGCAAAGCAAATGGAGGTGAGTGAAAGCTTTAGCATTTGATCGTCCATTCAAAAGTCACCTAAACCATCAACAAATTTAGAATTACCCCGAATTCATCGAATACTTTGGGCACTCGAAATATTACGTTTGACTCGAAAGTTTCGAGCTTTTTGTGTTAAATTATTGCCGGCTATGGGACAATTGTCTTAATTTATATGCCTAGTGGGTAAATATTCAATTTTGATCTTTATCAAAATCTTTGGTGATATCCAGGAGTCCCATTTTCAGTGACAACTCTCCCCACTTTTGCCTATTTGAACAAAATCGGCACGCACTTGAGCTGCGCCACTTTGACAATGCAAAGACAATTTCTGGTGAACCTGTGCATTCAGGTGGCTTTCATGAGTTCCAGATTGCTTCGATTATTAGAAATAACAATGGCTTTCCTCATGATCTCAATTCTTTTTGGACTTTACATCGTTTTACTGAATTTCCGAGAGAAGAGAAGGTATTTTGAGGTAAGATGGAAGATATTTTGAGCTTTCAAGAATTTAAAATTGTCTAGGCTTCAATTTCTACGTTCCAGCTTTGGTGCCAATGCATGGAAACAGTGATTCGCTGCTAATTCTGACCCTATACCTCCCGTATCGAAAATTCGTGAGTCAGCTATTGCACTTTCCAAGTTATGGCAACTTTCAACTTCTTCAATTCTATAAAATTAGACTGTTTGCCAAATCGACTATTGATCAAATCGAAAGTCATCAGTAGATTTTCCGGGAACCACAAGGTCGTTTATTCCTTGAGTCCTTTCCATAGCATGTTCCCCCGGCATTCTATCGACGTATTTCTTCATTCTATTGGGTTGATGCATAATTATCCGGACTTCTTTTATAAATGATTTTATTTAACAAAAAATAACATAAATAGTTAGAAAAATATGTTTAATTGATTATTCTGGAGCATATTCACCGCCTACATCAATAACTGATTGCCATTTGCTTGGAAGACGATCGATTCCACGAGCGAAGAATAAACGATCTTTGGAGGCAATCCACGCTTTAACATCGTCTATCAAGTCATCCAAATCGTTGTAGATCTTATTTGTTTGCCAATTTTTGAGCGATCGATTGACGTGGTAGTCCGTTGGGGCTTCTCCAGTTCTTTGAGATCGCGAAACGACTCTGCGGCAGACCATCCCTTTTCGAAGTGGTAGAGCATGATATGGCGAAGATGGATATGATTGTCGACACGCATTTTGTTCACTAAAGAATAACGAATATTTAAAAAAAAGAAATAGACAAAAAGCTTTCAAAACAAAAAAGATACAAGCACGCAAAAAGAAGTCCGGATAATTATGCATCAACCCAATATTTGACTCACTAAACATTATTATTACTTATGTAGATAAACAAGTAACATAATCTTGCGGAATGCAAGAAAATGCAGTCGGTCGTTTATTCCTTGACCTCCCCTTTGGCTCCACTTTGACTTCGGTGCTGAGACCGGTTGTCGGTTATAGGAATGGCAGGAAAAGTTCACTTACATCTTTGAAATATACGTAAACAAATACACATATCATTTTAGAAATCACACCAAAAGCAATCCTACCTTTCCACAGAAAGTGGAAACTTCTATTAAACAAATTTTCATTTTTCGGATTTGTCAACTCTCAGCTAACAAAATCTAAAGCTTTCAAAGACTTCGAAGGATTTGAAATAATAGTTTTAGTACTATTTTAATTCCTTAAGCAGTTAATCAATAATCATAACCAGTTCTTTTTTTCGATTCCACCTCATATCCACCGATTGTTGTTAGCAAAGAAATCACTTCAGCAGACATATGAATTAGATCAGCTGAAATGTTTCTTTCATTGCTTTTAACTATTGGATTGGCTAGAATGAAATGGCGCGCCATGGCGTCAAACTTTAAAGATACTTTTTGCAAGCAGAAACCCTTTAAATACACGTTTTTTTTCATCAAAAAAAACCTCCACTATTTCTCTACAAAATGACTTTTCTTTCGTGGAGTTTATGGACTCGCAAAAAAAGCTAATCAAAATGGCAAAAAGTCCGACTCATCGTTTGAACAGTTTCTTCTACATAAGCCTCCTTTGGTGTCTACATAAAAAAGATAGAGCACACACAATTACATAAGTTCCCAACATTTCACGAAGATCCCTCCAACCGTTTTCAATAGATTTCTCTAGATCACAGTTTATAGATTTTATGAAAAAAAAGTATTCTCCCGCAAGCTCATGACTCATGGTCCGGAATAAATAGTAATCAGAAGGGGCAAGGTCTGGACTGTATGGGGGATGTGCCAAAGGTTCCCAACCAAGGCTGTTTATTTTAGAGCGAGTCAGTTTTATTTTATTTCAGTTTATCTTAGAGCGAGATAAAAGGTTTTAAACACAGCTTACTTGGGTTGGTGAATTGAAAACTGCCGGACTTTGAACTAAAATTTATTCAAATAAAACCATAAACTCATTTCAAATAATTTCTATTATTATTAACGACTTCTGCCCATTTTACAGGCAATTTGCGGATTCCTCTTTCGTAGTAGGATTTTGGTTTGTGTGTGAGACAAGTGTGGGACTCAGAAATGGAGGACTGGAGATGTCTCAGTTTGAGTACTTTCTTCAAAAGAAACCCATTTTGGTGTCAATAGAAAAGTTGTAGAGAATCAAAAATTAGGCTTATAGCGAAATTTCCAAAAAGATATACTTAGTAGTTTCGCTTAAAATGCAAGTTTTGTGAAAATTCGTAAATTTGGCATTCCTGAAAACCAGCTTTTGAATCGTTCTGAAAATTTGGATCTAAGCTTGATTTTTGATTCTCTACAACTTTTCCATTGACACCAAAATGGGTTCCTTTTGAAGAAAGTGCTCAAACTGTGACGTTGACAATAGCAGTTTTCAATTCACCAACCCAAGAGTTTCAACAGGTAAACAAAATTTTGTGAATGACACAATTCTAAAATGCACTAAACTGAAATGTCGATTTCTAAAGCTTGCTCCTTCTCTGCCTATAAAAGCTTTGGAAATTGCAACTTTTCTCATTCTTTTTCATTTTCCACATGCCCGTTTGTTCTGCCTGAAACTCGGGATTCTATAACTTTTTTTCAACTTTCAGATTAATTTGTGATGGATCCGATGTCAGATTCGGCATTCTACGAGGGCCTCTACTCCATCCCAAGTAGGTTTTTGATGTGACTTTGTAAAATTTGAGCTTGAAAAGCTAAGGGTTTCTTGAAAATGTGTCGAATTTGCCCGATTTTGTCGAACTTTAACTTGCACTCCACTAAAATCATACAAATTTACCTAAATTTGGCTACTGAAGTTCTAAAACCAAAGCTAAAGATTAGATTTTCATCTTTTCATTGTTTTACACTAGATTTTACTTTAGAGTGGTGCTTCGGTGAATCAACAAATATTCTCGTCAGGTGTCCTACCACCGCCACAGTTTCTTCAACAACAAGCAGCAGCAATGCCATCAACGAACATCCTCACGTGTCGTCTGTGCCAGGAGATCTTTTTGGAAGTAAGAAAGCTTTTGGTTTTTGGAACTTTAAAGACTATTAATAGAGATTTTAGTTTGCATTGTATTCTTGAGGCTATAAAGTATTTTTTGTTAGGGGACTTCAATCAAAAAAATAGTTTATCGCCAGGTTTTTGACTAGGGTTGAGCTCAACTTATCTATTTAGTTCGTTCTGTACCCTTAGGGCTTTGAAGTGTTTATTCTTAGGTAAATTCGATCAAAATTAGATTTATTGCCATGTTGTTGACTAGGGTTTAGCTCAACTTCTATATTTCCTCGATCATAACGTTTTTGTATTTAGCCAGTGGTCTTCCCATGTGGTCACACGTTTTGTCTGGCGTGCAGCGAGAAATGGCGAAAGCGGCAGCGCGTTTGCCCACAAGCTGGATGTGATAAATCTCTTGGAGAAGCCGTGCCTAATCTACTTGTGAAAGAAGTGGGTTGGTTCTTTGACGTTAACAGTTGTGAAAGGAACGCTTATACTATACTACTTCAATTTTTAAAGTTTAAATTTAAAAGACTAAATTCGTAGTTTAGGCTGCAATTTCCCATCACGCGCGAAAGATCGTGGAATCGAATCAGCAACAAGCACAACTGCTGCTGACAACACAACTGGCGACCGCACTGCAACAGCAACTCTTCGTCTCAGCAACAGGGATCGTCAATCAACCACCACCGATGAGCCCATGTGAAGCGAATGGTCTTTATGACGATGACGTCGAGCTACGAGACCAACAATGGGTTCGACTATTATTAGAGTATTGCGAATTTTTTCTTTTAGATAGGCGCTCGAGAAGTGGGTGGTCGAAAAAGTCGACGAAACTTTCAAGCACGAAGGAATCGGTTATCTATTGCCATTGCTTCCTGTTTTAGACATTTCTTTAGTGATTCTGAGAGGGGCTTGGTGTCGCTTGAACTAACTTGCACCGGTGGACATCATAAGAATATGGTGTGTTAAAAGTTTTTAGCTATCAGACAAATAGTTTTTGGAAGATTTACCTTCTTCATGTTTAGCCACCAATCGTTGAATCGCCTACTGATGAATCGCCTACTCACGAATCGCCACCTCTGCGACAAAAAGAAACCACACTTGATCAACAAGTGCGTCAAGAACAAAAAGCCACGCAACCTCACCCACCTCCAACGCGTTACAATCCTAACGGAGCATTTGTGCGTGGGACTCGTGGGCGAAGAACGGGTATGTGGCTTTTGCGCTGTTCTTACGGGAATTTTCAAAAGTTGATTAATTGAACGCCATTTTTAGTGATGATAAGCTACTTTAACTCTGTAATTTCAACCTTCCTCATTATTTTTAGAGATTCATCAAATGCCGAATCAGCGTGTTTGCTCCAATCGACGATCCTTGACGGCAATGTTCTTTAAGCGACCAAAAGAAAGTAAAAGTCTTGTTTTATTTTGCTTAAATGTTTTCTTTTAGTGGTTCCCGAAAAATCTACTGATGACTTTGCTCTAGGAAGTGGGTTGATTGCTAACTACCGCTTTTAAGTTTATTTTTAGAACGTAGGAATCAACATGAATGGGGTGATGTCTGGATGGGAGATAAGCAACAACACGAATCACAAGAATCCCCGGACTTGGCTTCTCATCCGATGTACAAATTAATGCAAGCGAAAAAGGACAAGTCGTTTTGGTCGAAAACAAAGCTCATCTTCTCGTCGAACAAGGCGAAGAAGTGATGAGGAAAAGTCAACTTTTGCCCCCATTTACGCGTTTGTGTTTCATTGGCTATTTACACATTTTATCCCTTTCCTTTCCTGTGATATGCCATTTTTTGTTGATTCCACTCAAAATCTTATTTGGTGCAAAAATTTTATTTCTGTTCGGCTTTTGTATATTTTCTAGCTCAATGATTCTTGGTTCTGGGTTTCTGAAATTTTATAACATTGCTTTATTTGAATGACCTACATGTTCCCTTGATTTTTCAATATTGTTGTTTCACTTTGGAAATAAAATAAGTTGGGGAAAAGAAAAAATATCCAATTTTTTTTACCGAATTTTGGTGATATTTAGGAGTCCCATTTTCAGAGGGTTGTCCCATAGCCGGCAACAATTTAACACAAAAAGCTCGAAACTTTCGAGTCAAACGTAATATTTCGAGTGCCCGAAAGTATTCGATGAATTTATTCGTAATTCTAAATTTGTTGATGGTTTAGGTGACTTTTGAATGGACGATCAAATGCTAAAGCTTTCACTCACCTCCATTTGCTTTGCACGAATTTCCTCAAAACCGTTCACCCAAACGGCAATCGCGATGATCACGAATCCTTGCAATGAAGTGGAATACAGGAAGATGTACATCAACCATTTCCGACTGAATGGCTATTTTGTAGTTTCAGCTCAGGTTTAGGTGTCTTTTGAATAGACAATCAAGCTTGAAAGTTTCAAAACTTTCTTTAGAAATAACATTCACATTACTTATTTGAATCGAAAACAGTTCAGGCTTTCAAATGACACCAAAAAGAATTGAATTGGAACGACGAATCCCGAGAAAATCGAATACCATAAATGCTGTCTTAGAATGGCATGTCATTTTATATTTCAACCTATCAAACATCTTATTTTTCAACTAACCCAAAAAGTAGGTAAGGGGAAACACATGAATCAAAAGTTTAGAATTCGTTAAAAACTATTTTAAACAATGGCCCTTTGTCCAGAACGTACGTTTAAAAATGAAATTATTTTCTTACCCACGACCCCCTTTGAATGTCCAAAAAAATCCATGTGAGGGCCCGATATATTTTTTTCTATTTTTTCAAAAATAGAGTTTGAAATTTTACTGCCGATAAAATATTAGTAGATTTTAGGTCTAGATCTATCCATAGAACTCACACAAGGGGGTCTAAAATCAAGATTTTGAGGGATCAGGGGGTGTCATTCTAATAGGCGGTAATACCAGCGTTGACGGTATAAATAGAAGTGTTGTCGCTATGAAAAGATAGAGCTAAATCTCGATAGCAAAAAGATTAGTACAATTTTAGCCTCAATAACAAACATTACGGCTTTTCACACTTCACTAAGTAGCTGAATTCCATGCGTGCCACAAGATCGAGAAATTTTTCCAGGAGAAATCATAAAAACCAAATAAACCAAGATTTCTCAATTTTTTTTTACTTAGTTTGCTGTCGATTAATGAAGAAATTCCCATACAGCCGCATCGTTTTCGGTGTTCCTAATAGAATTATCAGTATGGTGAGGAGATTCAATGCGAAAACGACAGCTAAACGATTTTTGGGCATTTTAAAACTTGTTTCTTTAACAGAAAAAAAATTCTTAGACAGAAAGCGAAGAATTCGGAATAATCTGAAATGTGAAAAGTCATCAAATAACCAAGAGTCTTTCTTGTGGCTAAAGATTTGTCAGTTTGGTCAACAAAATTGTTGCTTTTGAAGAGCTGAAGCTATTAATTAGTGAGAGGGAAAACACTGAGAAGGGTTTGTTTTAATAAATTTAGATCTTCGATTTTAGAACTTTGAATTTTTATCGAAAAACTCAATACAATTTCAAGTTTATTTCAAAAATATTCAAATATCAAGAGAGCTCACAAAAGCCCATTCAAATAAAGAAATGTTACAAAATTTCAGAAACTCAGAACCAAAAAGTGTAAATCGTTTAGCTAGAAAATAGACAAATGCCGAACAAAAATAATTGCATTTTGGCGCAAAATAAGATATTTGAGTGAAATCAGCAAAAATGGCATATCACAGTGGTGAAAAGGAATAAAAACAAACGTGTAAACGGGGGTAAAAGTTGACTTTTCCTCATCACTTCTTCGCCTTGTTCGACGAGAAGATGAGCTTTGTTTTGTAAATAGCCAATGAAACACAAACGCGTAAATGGGGGCAAAAGTTGACTTTTCCTCATCACTTCTTCGCCTTGTTCGACGAGAAGATGAGCTTTGTTTTCGACCAAAACGACTTGTCCTTTTTCGCTTGCATTAATTTGTACATCGGATGAGAAGCCAAGTCCGGGGATTCTTCTGATTCATGTTGTTGCTCATCTCCCATCCAGACATCATCCCATTCATGATTCATACCTTCTAAAAAGAAACTTGAAATCCGTTAGCAATCAACCCACTTCCTAGAGCAAAGTCATCAGTAGATTTTCCGGAAATCACTAAAAGAAATATATTAAGCTAAATAAAACAAGACCATTACTTTCTTTTGGTCGCCTGCAAAATATTTCCTTCAAGGATCGTCGATTGGAGCAAACAGGCAAGCTGGGCATTTGATGAATCTCTAAACAGCACATAAAGAACATCACAAAACTCACATACCCGTTCTTCGTCCACGAGTCCCACGCACAAATGCTCCGTTAAAAATGTAACGCATTTTGGATGGATGAGGCTGTGTGGCTTCTTGTCGTTGATGCAATGGCTGATCAAATGTGACCTTTTTTCGACGCAGTGGTGGCGATTCGTGAGCAGGCGACTCCTCGTTTCGAGGCTAAACTTGAACAAGTTAAATCTTCCAACAATCATCTGTCTCATAGCTAAAACTTCAAAATTAAACAAATTAAATCTAGTACAGTTACGTACATTTGAAGCTCTATAACCGTTCCTTTAACAGCTGGTAACGTCAAAGAATCTACCAACTTCTTTCACAAGTAGATTAGGCACGGCTTCGCCAAGCGATTTATCACATCCAGCTTGTGGGCAAACGCGTTGCCTCTTTCGCCATTCCTCGCTGCACGCCAGACAAAACGTGTGACCACATGGGAAGACCACTGGCTAAATAAAAAAACGTTATGATCGAGGAAATATAGAAGTTGAGCTAAACTCTAGCCAACAACATGGAAATAAATCTAATTTTGATCGAATTTACCTAAGAATAAACACTTCAAAGCCCTAAGGGTACAGAACGAACTAAATAGATAAGTTGAGCTCAACCCTAGTCAAAAACCTGGCGATAAGCTATTTTTTTGACTGAATTTGCCTAACAAAAAATACTTTATAGCCTCAAGAATACAAAGCAAAATCTCTATTAATACAGTCTTTAAAGTTCAAAAACCAAAAGCTTTCTTACTTCCAAAAAGATCTCTTGGCAAAGACGACAAGTGAGGATGTTCGTTGATGGCATTGCTGCTGCTTGTTGTTGAAGAAACTGTGACGGTGGTAGAATACCTGACGAGAATATTTGTTGATTCACCGAAGCACCACTCTAAAGTAAAATGTAGTGTAAAACGATGAAAAGATGAAAATCTAAACTCTTGCTTTGGTTTTAGAAGATACAGAGGGTCTGAGTAGCTATAGATGGAAATTTTTCGAAACATTTATAGAATCGTGAATCGGAAAAGAAAACAGGAAAATGTGAAAAATGAGAAATTGAAATTTCTGAAGGTTTTATAGGCAGAAAAGGAGCAAGTTTTAGAAATCGACATTTGGGAATTTAGTGTATTTAGAATTTATTGCCTTAACAGGTTTTGCTGTTGTTCATCGGGTTGTTTTTATCCATTTTTAATCGAGTTTGCTTGTTTAGGTTATATTTTTTTCACGAAGTTTTTTTAGATTATATTTATATAAGAATTAGTGCTTAGATATATTTTGGTGCAAAATTGGGGGGGGGATGGGACAAATGCCACCTTTTTTTTGCTGGAAAAGGCCTTAGGAAAGGTTGTAGAGCTTCGAAAATGTTCCCATACTGGGGAATCGTATGCGTAGATTCCGAATTTCGACAAATCACACCTTGCTGACACGTCAAATTTGGGCTAAAAGGCAAAAACTGCGGAAAAGCGTTAAGTTGCGTAGTTTTTGCCTTTTAGCTCAAATTTAACGTGTCAGCGAGGTCTGATTTGCTTTGATTTGTCGAAATTCGGAATCTACGCATACGATTCCCCAGTATGGAAACATTTTCGAAGCTCTACGACCCTTCCTAAGGCCTTTTCCAGCAAAAAAAAGGTCGCATTTGTCCCACCCCCCCAAAATTGAGACTATAATGGGTTTTTAGAACTGAAAAACTGAAATTTTTTGGTTAATCTAACGATTTTTAAGTGCTTTTTAGACATTTTAAAGCTGTGCTTTTAAAAATGAAACTTTTATTTGAAGAACTGTACACCAGAGAACTAATGACGATGATGAAATACTCGTATTATTGGTGGGGATTTGAAGAAATGTGTCGCTTTTACTGAGGTTTCGCTGTGAGATTCCCGTTTCGCTTTGTTCAATAACTGATGGCACCGCGTTCGAGCTGAAATTTACATAATTGAATTGTTTTCACGGCAAACTATCGTAATACGGTAACATATCTTTCTTGAGCCTCTCACCTGAATCATCGATCCTTCTTGCAGATCCTGTGACCCATCCATTGGCCCGAACATCATCACATTCCATCGCGGAGCTCCCGATTGGAAACGAGAGCTGCGATACGATTTCCGATCGAATCTTCGCGGCGGTGGTGGTGTGGGCAAGTTTTCATCGATTTGATTATTCATCCTGGATGGCATTGGTCTCATTGGTGAATCGTTTGAATCGTTTGGTCTCATTTCTGGCATTTGCTGCTGCTCAAACCGATTTCCAGGCATCATTGGCGGCATTAACGACCGCTGATCGGTATTCATCGAATTTTCGCTCATTCTGGATGGCATTAATCCCATTGGGGCATTATTTGGCCTCATTTCTGGCATATTTGGGTCAGGTGATTGCTCAAACCGATTTCCAGGCATCATTGGCGGCATTAGCGGCCGCTGATCGGTATTCATCGAATTTTCGCTCATTCTGGATGGCATTAATCCCATTGGGGCATTATTTGGCCTCATTTCTGGCATATTTGGGCCAGGTGACTGTCCAAACCGACTTCCCGGCATCATTGGCGGCATTAGTGGCCGCTGCTCGGAATTGACGAAATTTTCAGGCATGGGTGGCATTGGTGGTTCCGGTCGATCTTGCGGCCCCCTCATCGACAATTTCATTCCGATGATCTCTTTGGGTGTCGGTATTCTCGGACTATCATTCCTCTCTCCGAACACTCCCCGATCCATCATCTCCTTCAACAACTTCATCTTCCACACCCATGGCTTCATTCCCATTTCTTTCACTTCTCCATCATTCATCTCAAAGTCATTTCTCTTCCCGAACATCTTCATGAATCGTGGCTGTTTTGGGTCATCATTTTGATTAAATCTTATCATCATTGGGACATTATTTGGCCTCATTTCAGGCATTGAAGGATTCATTTGAATAGGTCCCTGTCGGAAAGGCATTGGTTCAGGCATAGGGATTGGTCCTTGCAAATAATCGTTCATCATTCTTTCTCTTCTTTCCCGATTTATCATTTTTCGTCTGGGTGAGTAAAAGATTTCCATAGGTGCTCGTGGTTGCCCTGGAGGTGGGAAGGGCATGTTGAAGCTCATTTGAGGGTTAATTTCTCCAAAAGGAGAAGACATAGGACCAGGTCTGGCTCCTTGTCCAACAGGGACCATTGGAGGCACCATATCCATGCCCCCAGGTCCCATGCCTGGGTATCCACCAGGTCCCATAGGTCCCATTGGTCCAGCACCTTGTCCAACTCCCATATGCGGTCCAGATCTCACACTCTGCCCCATGGATCCCATTCCAAATCCACTCATCGGCCCTTGTCCCATCATTCCCATTCCTCTAATCCCTTGCCCACTCGCTCCCTCTCCAATCGGATACATACCCATCTCCATTCCTGGTCCGTATCCTCCCATCATTTGTTGTCGGCGCTCACGTCTTCTTGGAGCCGCGCTGCTGAAGCCACCTGGAAACTTATTTATTGTTTACTAACTGTAAAATCCGGTCATTCATTCTTTCATTTATTCTACAGTACTCACCAAGTCCCATCCTCTGAATGGGGAAATCAAAGACATAAGTTTGTTGATCTTCTAATCTTTCGTCGAACATCGGCCGATCACCGAATGATTCTTCTCCCTCGAAAGCGAATCCATTCATTCCACCAAATGGATCATCCAGCGCTCGTCCTTCAGCTCCGCCTGAGAATCTACTATATATAAAAGAGCAGTGTCTATCTGCCTGCCTGTCTGCCTGTCTGTCTGTCCGTCTGTCTGTATGTCTGTCTGTCTGTACAGTTAGGTTAGTTAGGTTAGGCTGGGTAATTGAATCAAGATGCTAGCTCGAAACCAGTGCTCCAGAAAGTGCAAGTGAGCACAGAGAACACATTGGTCTGTTCAATTACCCAATTAAAATAAGTTGCAATGAGAATTGCTATTCAATTTTATAAAGCTATCACAATTTACCTTCACCCCTTGGTCTTGGTCTTCCTGGTCCTCCTAGCCCACCCATTTCCTTTCCCGGCCACTTCCCACCACCGCCAGGTCTCTTTGGACCATCCTGACCACATCTTCTTCCTAAACTTTTAAAGTATTAACTGAATATCTTTTTATTAGATGAATATCTTTATTAGATGACTATCTTTATTAGATGAATATCTTTATTAGCTGAATATCTTTATTAGATGAATATCTTTCTACCAACTGAATATCTTTATTAGATCTTTCTATCAACTGAATATCTTTCTATCAACTAAATATCTTTCTATCAACTGAATATCTTTCTAATCAAACCTTTACACTTCCTTTCTTTCTTGAACCCATCACTCATATCATTATAACCATTCTTAAATGGTCGACCACCCTGAAAATCTTTTTACATATTTTAATAAAATTTTTCAAACACCTCCGCATATTTATCAACTTTCCTCTCATCATCTGACAATTGCTCACCAAATTGCGCAAACGTCAAACCAATCAAATAAGCGCACAACAATCGAGTGATCATCTAAAAGGAGATCAAATAGATTTAAGCAAGATTGACTTCACAAAAAAGAAAATGAAAAAAAAGATTTGAAAGTTATGGAGATCACGTAAAATTTTAGCGTTAGAAAAATTCCGGAAAAATCAAATTCTAGAAAATCTAAGCTTTTCAACACAAAATTATCTCTATTTTCAATTAAAAAACCTCGAAAACCTTCAAAACTCTTCAAAACTCTTCCAAAAACCGTTCCCATCCCTTTTCTTTACCCCATTTTATACCAGTTTCATTATTTACACAAATTTCACCGAAAAGATCGAAAGAGAAGCCCATTTTTGGTGATGGTGTCACCCGGTGGAGATCTCAGAAAGGAAATTCCCCCAAAAAAATCTTTCCCCTCAAAAAACTAAAAAGTAAAGCTAGTTTTGTGCCTCCCAGCTTGGCCCTTTCTTTCTTTAGTTTTGTCTTTTCCTCAAGAGTAAACAAGTATTGGGGGGAGAGAAGGGGATAAAGAGTTTGCAAAGTCTCAAGACTGTCGCGTGTCTCTTTCTCTGTTTTTTCTTACTTTCAGCACTTCCGTCCCGGTCTTTATATGGTTTTTTTGTAAGTATGTATCTTTCGTGAAGAACCCAACTTGATGCTGAACAGTGCGACTGATTGAGAATCGCTTTTTCTTGAGAAAACAATCGGTCAATCGAGTTGCTAGGGAATTTTAGAACAACTCCCGACAATGCCTAGTACGTTGAACTCTTGTAAACTCTCGTATATGGTGTACTGGATTTGAAATGTACTCTGCTCTTCGGTAAACGTTCAAGATTAGATTTGGGTTTACCTGTGTAGAATTTGTATAACTAGATATGTGAAAACCTTTATCCAAAATTATAAACCAATTCTCCCATTCTTTCTAATACCATTGATTCCATTTTTAATCGATTCTAGAAATCTTTTCTCAATCGCACAGGAGCCTCGGAGATTCATAAGCGTCTTAAAGTCGATAGAAGTCTCATTTTCCGCGCTATACAACGCTACGAAGCTACGGGAACAATTGCTGATGTGCCAAGAAGCGGTAGACGCCCAACTGTCGTCACAAAAATCATGCGATTGAGGGACCGAATTCGGAAGAAGCCAAACCAGTTGACGATGGCAAAGGCATTTCCAAACAATGGCAAAGAAGAATTTCAAGCACCTCATTGCGTCGGATCCTCGAAAATAAGCCCAAATTTACTGCTTACAAGAAAAACAAGGCTCAACTTCTTTCGAGTGTCGTTAAAAACAAATTGAGAGCAGATCGGTTCTTGATGCACTTCAATGGAATCAACCACGATATCTTGTTCATAGATCAAACAATGTTTACCGTTAAAGGCCTTCTTAACAAGCAAAATCATTGTTCAAAGCCCCACAAAAACATGGAAAGCTTCAAGAAATCACTGTTCAAAGTTTGGGAAGAGCTCGATGCAGGCTATTTTGTCGCCGCCGTTGGCGCCTTCTCGAAATGCGTGCGAGCTAATGGTGGCCTGCTAATGGTGGCCGATTCGAATTTCATAATTCATTTATAATTGTTAATCTAGAATAAATGCTATTCAGTTAAAAGTTTGTCTTTTTTTTTGCTTTTGTCTTTAAAAGACTTATATTGTTGCGACAATTATGGCGTATCCTGTAATTGTAAGGTTTACTGATGTGAGGCTCTTCATTTGAAAACTTTATCCAGTTATATCCAATAATTTTATCCAATAACCGTTAGATTCATAGATCTAATATTTTTAACACCATTGATTCCATTTTCAATCGATTCACGAAATCTTTTCTCAATGATTTTCAGTCCCGATCTCGTCAAATGACATCCATTATCGAAATAAAGCAATTGCTTCTCTTCATCAAATGTCATCAGTTGATTTCTTTTGAAATCTAAATCTAAACTTAGAATATTCCTTTTCCCTTTAGAATGTTCCTTACCAATAAATGCTTCAGCGATATCAATTGGATAACATTTAAAGCATTTCTCGAAAACGATCCTCAAACGTTGATAAACTGATCCATTATAGAAATTGGTTATCTAAAAAAAGTTGATTGATTGATGTTGATTCTAGAAATGTAACTGATTTACATTAAATGAACGATTGAACTTTGTGAGATCCTCTCCTTTCTGTATTGAATCCAAAAAACGATTGAGAAGTTGGCTATCGATTCCGTGACAATCAAATGGTTGATGCGTTTGGATGAAGAGCTTCTTGGTGAATGAACTAGAGTAATCTAATCGTTGTTTATTCGCTGACCGTTATTCGAGGATACTGGAGTATTGGTGTTGTCTACGTCTACTGTCGGATCTACTGTTGTCTAATTGATAAAAGTTTCATTGATTCTCAAGAACTTGCATTTAAAATCGATTTTAGACCGGTTATGCTTTTCAGAAAGTTCTTGAATCATACAAGAAAGTCAAGGTGAACAAACTAGAATAACAAAGTAAACTTAGATTCTAAAAGAGAAGGAATTCAGTTCACTAGATGGCTCGCATTTGCAAGAGCACAAAGTCGAGCCAATCTCAAATCTCTGCTCACCTCAAAGCTCGAATTCCCCTCAAATACTCAGCCAGTACAGTATCATTTGGACCCTCAAATGGCGTTAAATCACGACTTAAAGAAGTATCATGATATCTAAAACATTTAGACAGCTAAATATCTTTCCAAGAATCACCTGGCAATTAAAAAAACATAATCTGGCCTCAATTCTTCGAGAAATTTCATAAAAAACGGAGTTTGAGCTGAGAAATTTTTGATTATAAAAGCTCATAGAGATTATTTTTGATTTATTTATAATATCTGGATGTCATGTAATTTTTTTTTTCACCTTTTACAAACACTTGATCTCCATGAAGTCCAAAAGTCCATAAAGGCTGTGAGAAAAGATGCATTTCTGAGACATTTTCTTCAGGGAAATAGGCACGTATTAACTGAAATTGATAGAAAATCGTTCTCAATGAAAAATCTAGATAAAAGCCTAGATATAAATCTATTATTTTAAACTCACATGTGCCTCTTGAGCAGCCCACGAGTTTCCAAGGATCACGATTTTCAAATGGCCTCTATTTCCCTGTGATCAATTAGTTATTTAGAACTAGTTAACAAGATTTGTAAGTAAAAGCATTAGATAACAAGCTGAGAGCTTAGATAACAAGCTGAGAGCTTAGATAACAAGCTAAGAGCCACCTCACGACGGCTCTTATCACTGGCTGAACGCTGGTTTATCACTCAAGACCTTCTACCCAGCCTAACGTTCTTTTGTTTCCCTAAACAAAAAATCTGAAAAATCTGAAAACGTCAAAAGTCGAACCCGAGCGCTTCACTCTAGCTTAGAGGCTAGTCTAACAATTCAGGCAATATATCCCTTAGAGACGGGTTCACTAACTACTCCGCCATGTCATCCTGTTGTTAGCCTTTGAGGCAAGCGACCTAATAACTGCTCGCGACGCAAAAAGGGCGGAGACCTCGATTTTAACTTAGAGTTTCTAATGGCTGTAATGGCTCATTTTTTTCGAAATTTTACGTAGATTTTTAAAGTGAAACACCATCAAACATTTATTGGTTGAAAGTGAGAGAAAAATAGCGCGGACTAACTTCAGTTCTTGGTTCTGAGTTAGAAGTTCTCTCTGAAACCAGTTCGCGCGCTATTTCTTTCACTTACAAAAGAGAAATCTCAGATGTAGCTTCACTTTAAGAAACTACGTAAAATTTCGAAACAAAATGAGCCATTAGAAATTCTAAGTTAAAATCGAGGTCTCCGTCCTTTTTGCGTCGCGAGCAGTTATTAGCTCGCTTGCCTCGAAGGCTATTTGTAACAATTTGTAAAATTTGTAACAAATTGGCATTAAGTCGGTTGTCTTTCAAAAATCCTTTGAGTTCGTAAACAGACGTTAGTTCTTAAAAAGACGTTTGTTCGTAAACAGACGCTTGTTCGTAAACGGACGTTAATTCGTACAGACGCTTGTTCGTAAATAGACGCTTGTTCGTAAACAGACGCTTGTTCGTAAACAGACGCTTGTTCGTAAACGGACGTTAATTCGTACAGACGCTTGTTCGTAAACAGACGCTTGTTCGTAAACGGACGTTAATTCGTACAGACGCTTGTTCGTAAACAGACGCTTGTTCGTAAGCGGACGTTAATTCGTACAGACGTTTGTTCGTAAACGAACGTAACATATATTGTGATTGTGTAGGTAATCTTTACAAACTCTATTCTATTTTTTCTCAAATCTTCTATCAAATCCATTCATGTAAACACATAAAGCTAGGACAATATTTTTCGAGATTCGATTCAAATACAATACTGATACTAGCCTAAATCCCAAACAAAAAGCATCAGCTTTCCAAAGAAATCCCTAGCCAAAAACATTGGCTTCAACAGGAAATAAAGAAAAAAGATAAATATGAATAATTTTTCTCTGAAAACCTTGTAAACATAATGTCCCCATGGTGGATTAATTTTCATAAATCCATCATCAACGAATATCCCTCCATCAAGTTTGTACAAAGATTCCAAAAATTTTCGATTCTCTACCATCATCTCATTTGACACTAAAATGATTTCTTTAAGTTTAGCAAATGCAAATGCAAAGCAAAGCCAAGCAAAGCAAAGCAAAGCAAAGCCAAGCAAAGCAAAGCAAAGCAAAGCAAAGCAAAAGCAAAATAAAGCACAGCAAAGCAAAGCCAAGCAAAGCAAAGCCAAGCAAAGCCAAGCAAAGCCAAGCAAAGCAAAGCAAAGCCAAGCAAAGCCAAGCAAAGCAAAGCAAAGCCAAGCAAAGCCAAGCAAAGCAAAGCAAAGCTTTAACTTTAGCAAAAGCAAGCCCACCCTCTGAATGCATCAACATTTCCCATTTAAATCCAATCAGTAAACATAAGATGAAATATTTTAAAGTGACAAGAAAAATCTTGAGTTTCTTGGCTTGAAGAAGGGGTTTTTCGAAGAAATCATGGAGATATGAACTGATGAGAAAAGTGAGGAAAAGAGATGAGAATCGAGCTGGAAATAGACTG